ATTGTGCAGCTCTACTTAAATTATTTTAAATACACTGGGACAAACTGCTGGAGCCATGAGAAGTTCAATGCTAACTTTTTATGCAAAGTAAATAAATTCTAAATCAGAGAAATTACCGTCAATTCAACACCTCTAGCGGACCTGCAGAGAGCTTGGATGCAATTTGCAACTGAATGACTTTAGTGACTTGAGTGTTTGGTGTCTTATTGCTCGTGTTTGAAATTATGCGATAGTGAAATGAATAAAAGGTGCAAGACTTATTGAGAAGCCATGTTACTGGCTCTTCAAATGCAGAGCAAGAAACGCGTTCAGACAGCTTGACATAAAAATACAAAATATACACACCAAAATACCCCACCCGCTGTTACTTCGATAGCAACATCTAACGCTCTTGGCAAGCTACTACCCCGCTAACATAAACACAGACAAAACAATATGGTAACTAACAAACACAGCCAATTACGCGCTGTCAAAAAACATCTAAGGCAAAAAAAACACATCTTCAGACCTGACTTTGGAATGCAAATGGGAGCAAGCACACAGGCTGTCATACTATCTAAAATTAAATATCAGACGTCTTACAATGTGTGAGCTTTAAGATAAGGGAGAGTGAACGAGCAAAAGAGAGAAAGAGACATGTATACAGTATGCACAGTCAAGATAGTACTGCTCAAAAAGCCTGAGATTCCACAAGAGCAGTAAAAGACTAAGAAAGTGGGAACTGATATAAGAGACAGTAATACTCCAGATCATAAAATTCACTCATAAATAAATAAAGCCTTAGTAGCAACTATCAGTGTATTTTTACTTTGTGTGAAGGAAAGTGGGAGAAAAGTTTTAGAGTCAAAGGAGTGACATATAAGGTTGAATCAAAACCTCGCAGCCACTAAACCCCATGTGACTGCATTATATAATATTGTGAAAGTTGTTTTGAAGATATGCAACATTTGAAGATTGTGTATTTTGTTTATGATAAAAATGATATCAAAATGCTACAAAAAAGCAGATTAAAACTAACAATGGAACAAACTTTTAATGCAAAATGTGGAATAAAGTGATATTTCTGCATTGTTGTGGATAATTTTACAATCTTCAAACCTGAATACATTTCACAGTAAGAAACAATTTCCACAAATCTTTTGGATTGGCAAAGTCTCCTCTGATCATTGTTATCAGGATACTAAATGAAATAGAAAGGATTCATTTCTGCAAATATTTATCCCTACAAGCAAGATAAAATGTAACACTGGACTCAATAAAAACTGATGAAATTATACTTCTGTTAAAAGGGCCACTACTACGCTACTTTCTGATCTTCTCTTACTTACTACTTCTCTCAAACAGAAAACACTTGTACTTTGTAATGTCAAGCAATACAGGAAGTACTCCACTGTGTTTTTAAACTTCATACACCTTCACAAGAATCATTTGGAGAATTTCACCCCTTGTGAATCTCTACAAAACAAAAAAATAGGTAAAAAAGAAAAGAAGGTAACCATTGACTTACTACCAATTCATGACACAAGTTGGGAAAGAGCATTTTGAGTTTTGGAGATGTAGACCAACTAATAATGCAGGACTACTCAAACGTGTGATTGAAACAAAACACAATCAGGTATGTTTTTGATTAGCTCTCAAGAGTAAATTTCAGGTATAGGACCTTTAGGTATATAGTATAATCTCTGGATTGACAAAAAGCATACAAATATAGCACTGATCAATACGATACTTTATCAATTTCTCGACAATTTAGAGGCTATAGTGACAAGCCATCTCCAATAATTAATGAGTATGCCCATTTGTGGACATAAGAAACACTGACTTGAAGGACAGAAGAATCTTTCACATTATAACTCCATCTCACAACAACTAGAAAGGTTTTTTCTCATTTGTACTCCACTTTCAAGGCAAAAGTTGTCTCTACTTGATCAATAACAACTAAGTGAAGACACAACCTGGTACACAAGATAACAAGCTTTCAATCTGGACACAGGAAAGAGGGGACGAAGACGCTGACATAAAAAGGTAAAAGGAATTAGGCAATCATGAAAGTGCCAGAGAGGTGCGGAGGAGGAGAAGCCGGATATATTTTAAGTTAATGGACTTGAACTTCACTGGAGGCAGGAGGTTGTGGAGTGATTACTGGTATTAGGATGTGATGAGTATCTGTAAAGTGGGACTTGTGTGAATAAAGGAACAATGTTGTGTGTTTGCGTGTTTGTGTGCTTTTGTGTGTCTGTGAGTGTATTTGTGTGTGTTTGTGTGTTCGTTCCTGACCTTGTATGTCATTCGGGACACACTTATCCACTCCTTCTCTGCTCTCCTTCTTTAGCTTCAGCCATTTCTTGTATTTTCAAAATTTTTACCTCCCCACTGTCCACCTGGGCTAAAACCTCCTGAGAGCTACCGGTCCACTCAACAGAAAGGTCACAGCTATCTTTTCTCCATTCTGCACCAATCAGCCTCTTACTGCCACGGCTCTCCTCCCTCTGCTACGGTTTTCTTTGTTTTCCCCAAAAAACGGGTGTCACACATTACATTTCAACATCTTAACAAAAAAAGACAGACAATTTTGCTAAAATCGTGCAACAATAATTACAACAGTGAAGGCAAAGGGAAATAATTTACATATGCTTATAGTGCAAAGGCGCGTTGCTTCTCTTTAATTAAAGCAAGTAATTGGACAATAATTTTGATTTGTGAAAGGATAATTGCAGTAATTTCATCGTTGTTAGTTTCCCAGTTTTGTTCAATTATCATGACTGATTGTATCCTTATCGCTCCCTTTTAAATTGCACTGAAAGTCTTTTGTGTAACCACTTTGCTTGGAACAATGGTCTCCTTCTCAGCAGCCCAGCGGCCATTGAAAAGAAAGATTAAAATGTTCCAACTACATAATAATAGATACTTACTAGATGTCTCTTTTTGTATATACTATAATCAGAACAGACTATGCGCTATACTTCACTATAGAAAAGCTGTATGGGAACCTGCTTCAAAGTTCTTTCTAAACACAATGAATCCACAAAGGAATGAAAGATTGAGTGATGCTGCTCTATAGTTCATGCACTGTACCTATTCATTTTCTCTGCCTTAAACTTTTAAACTTTCTATCAGAACTTTTTTAATTAAATGTTTGGATTCACATTAGCCACTGTGGTCTATAGTGTCATGCTGGAAATAGGCCCACGAGCCTGCAGAAGTTTCAACAAAGAGGGAAGTGACTAAAGTTTGAAAAGTAGTTTTTCAAACAGGGTTAAAGGTGCACTATGTAACTTTTTGGCTCGGGTTTGTTACCTGATTGTTTCTATGGATAAATAATTGATCTGACTAGAATGTTCTCTTCCTTACATTTATTCAGTTACAGGTGCCTTGAAAAACAGGCATTCTGACAGTGAGAGGGGTAGCCTCTCCACAGAACTGACCTGTAGCTTGGTCTGGTTTGGTCTCCATGAAGGTAGAAAGGTTTAAAACCATACTGTAAAACATTCCAAACAAAGCAATAACATCTCCATGAAGAAAAACCTTTCATGGGCCCTCCAGCAGAAAAGTTACACAATGCACCTTTAAGTAAAATTTGCTACAAGGGGTGAAATTAAAGTAGCTAATTACCTGAAGATCACAATTTTAAGTATTTTGATTGATCATTTATATCTGCAAAATAAATATACAGTATAATAATTTTGACTGCTCATATAAGGGTTGTGTTGTATAACATACAGTACATGGACAGACTCAATATCCATGCCTGTTTTCCACTATATGTTTAATGTCCCTGTTTTTTTTTTTTTTTTACATCTTTACAAATAAATATACATTACTGCGAGCCATTTGCTTTGTAGCCTAATGTGTAAAGCAATATCTTGAAGAGAGGCAATTCAAGTACATGTCTGAGTAAAAACTTCGGTAAAATCAACTTTCTTCAGCTGTTTTTTTCAATAAATCAGTAATGAACACACATTATTCTTCTTCCAGTCACATTTTCTTTTAACTTTGTGACCAAAAGGGTCCCTGGTTCAGCATGCCTGTTTGAACATGTCAAAAGCAATCCAACCACCTAATTTGGCTTGCTCTATTCCTGCAGGAGCCCTGTACGAGATTTAAACCACGGCTGACAGAACAGTTTACCGCTGTGTTGCCTAAACAAAATATGCTGTGTCTCAGAAGGCAACAAACTTGTTAAGTGTCTTTTCAAAAACTTTGGTCTACGAAGTTTACATCTCCCTTGAAGCGCTGCTGTTTCAATGCTAGGTGTTCATAAACTGCTGGGTATAATACAAAAAACAAAATGTGGAAATGGTGCGGTTGAATTTATGATCTGGAAAAATGTGATAGTAGAATTTAATATAGCCAACCTTTAGCTTTGTTTTCCTTTTATCAGCCTGGAGTATTGATATATTTTTGGGCACAGAGCAGTCAATATCCCATAAGAACGTAAAGCAAGTAATGAAAATACTTGAAATTGCTGCAGTACAACTCCTAGAGTAGAAATAAATACATACAATTCTGGAAAAAGTCCATCCAACAGAGAGCAGTTTAGGTTAAGGTTGTTTAAACCAGGTTACCACTGGTTTAAACAATACCTTACAGATGCTGTACATGATTATTACAGTGTTCAAGATGTGAGAAACAAAACTAGTTCACTTTAAGTAGTTTGCAGTGGTCCAAAGTTAAAGCACACTAACGTGCACCTCCTGATTATCAATAAATGTTTGTAATCAGATGCAGACAGCACCCACTTCTTTTAACCTCAAGAGGTGCTTATACAATATATCTGTACTGCGGCAACACATATTTTAGCCAAATACATGGGAAAAATGAGAGCACAGGGCCTTTATGACCTTAACCTTTATAGGTTCAGAATCAGATAATATATAATTTACCTCAATATGCAATTATAATGTGACAGATCATTATTATATGGATTTTGAAATATCCCATGCATAATTTTATTGTACACTAACTGAATAAATATCACTTCTAGTGTAGTTTTCACTCACCTGGTACAAAGTGTGGTTTTTATCCTTGAAACATGGTACAAGGCGTGTGTAAATCTGTAGGGAGTAGTAGTACGCGGCCAGCTGCAGTGACAAGGCCGAGTGACACTGCTTTTCAAAACACTTGTTGGCATCCAGTACCTGAAAGAACACAGCCAATTAAACCTCCTCAAACCTACCTGTGCCCATTAACCAGAAGAACAGCTTGTTAGGAGGACCAGTCTAATAAAACCACAGGAGTTAACAGGCTCTCCTGGACCAATACCAGTTTAGTGCTCTCACATATGGGATCATTATACTTTCCTCCTTTGTACACAGACTTGCTTACAATCTGATTACTTGGCATATTTGCAGACATCTGTAGCATAACAAAATATTTCACTGAAGTATACAGAAAATGCTGAAAGAAAGAAGTTTGGGGTATTTTAATGGAACTTAAACACCAAACTGCAACTTCCACCACTAATATGACTACTACAGTGAGGAAATGACTAGGGCTAGTACTATGGACATTTCTATTCTAATTAGGTTTAAACTAATAACTAAAAGTTTGGAAATAGCTCTTTGTAGGTACACCCAAAGGACATTTTAGCAGGTAAATCTGAACTTGTGTAAGGACGCTTTGAAGAGGACTTCAATCAGGAGAGTCAGTGTATAGCATTAGATAATGAATCCCTTGTTCTGAATGGCGGGGATATTTTTGACAATGTCTTTTTGATTTGACACAGTAATGAAACTGTCCACCACAATAGCTCATCAAAAAGGTTAAGTGGCTGTTGAGGTGCTGCATTTTCTGTGCCATGTTTCATACAATCACACTCACCATTGTTCTGAGTGAGTGAAAGCCTAAATATGTCTCCAAATAAAACCTTTCAGTGGTGGGTAGTGTCAGTTACATTTGCTCAAATCCATTCCTTTTAAAAATGAACTTCTGAAATAATTACATACTTTTACTTCTACTTGAGTAATATATTTTACAGTAATCTTACTTGAGTAAAAACTTTGGAAGTAACTGTAGTCTAACTTGTGCATGCTTTTTGCCAAGTCTGCCCACCTCTGTGAACAAGTACAGGCAAGTATGAGTAGAGCAATGTGTAGAGTGCTTTATAGGTTTAGCTTTATGGGTTTAGATTTATAGGTGACTATATTATTCTCAGAATTCTATGAAAACCCATCTTCAAGTACAGTATGTGTGTGAATACCTGAGGCAAGGCCAGTAAGTAGGACAAAGCCAGCATCATGTCCCTGGGAAACGCATCGTTGGCCAGCTGCAGCAGAACTGGAGAGAGGGAAGAAAAGACTTTAACTAAGACACAAAGGATTAAAACACGACTTCCTCTTTTTGGACTCTGCATATATTGCATGAATACAGATGTTCTTGCCTCTCAACGGTACAGAGAAAAGTAGGTTAGAAAAGTAGAGGAGAGGGCAAGACAATGTCAAGAAGCGTCATTATAATTCTCCTATGGTTTGTCTGTCTCAGTCGGCCATTATGAGCATATGGATTTGAGTGTTTATGCATTAAATGTCAGATGTGTGTGTGTGTGTGTGTGCGTATATGTAATAGCTCTTGTGCACAGTTTTATTATTCTGAGAACAAGGCTACTTCTAATAAGAGCTCTTCATACAGGTCCAGCTTCTATTTAAGTGCACTTCCAAGTCAAAGTCACACCACTGAATACATAATAAGTCAATAGATATCACCGCAGCAGGGGCAGTCTTTCTATTACGCGTACAGTGTACACAAAAAGCTGTCTCGTCCTCATCAATTTAAGTTCGAATTCAGATAGCGGTTGGATGTAAAGTGGCCTTGGATCATTATTTGAGGACAGAATTACAAATTAGAAAAAGAAACATGATTTTATAGTATTACCACTTGACTTTGCTTGACTTTAAGTTAGTGAATGTATCAATCAGAATGTATCTACATAGCAACAGCAGTTGTCAAACAAGAAATCTAAATTGATACAAAGGTCACTTATTAGATCTTTTTTGTTTTAAACATGGTTTGGCTTTTCATTGTATGAAATAAGAACTTCAGATTTGGACATAATAACTTTGAAGAACTTTACAGTTTCATTTCTATAATCTCAAAGGCCATAGTCTTTTGAAAAAGATACTGCTCTTTTCCTTTTTATGGACCCCCCACAACATCAGAGGATTTTGGAGCTACATCTTCAGAAAGATTGTCTTGTCCAATTCGGTCTCATTGCTTCCTTATTCCTCATGGTTTAAATCCCGCCCACAGAGCAGAGAAAGCCGTAGAGAAGAGAAGCAGGTTATTTCCAATAGACTTAACTGACAGTTGAGAAACCCAGGAGGCACGGAAAAAGAATTGAGACGTGGCCAATTTTCTAAAAGACAGACAAGTTTGCTGGCAGAACAATTTGTTACTATTTTGGCTGATAGTAAATTGTGTTAAAAGCATTTGAACATATTGTGCCCAGATGGTTTTTAATAATTTTTGACAGTGTAGAAAAGGTTTCAAATGTAGTCATCTGGATACTGTTTTTTGAAGATTTTTCGACTCCCATCCTGAAGTCATTTTTAATCTGATGGTACTTGTCAGAGAAATTAAGATTTATACTGCACTGAGGTAAGTCCTGCCCTAAAGGGAGAAGGTTTAACCTGAGAACTATCTTTTAAACCTTAAACCTTTTCCAGGACCAATAAGGGATTACAGTAGTGTATTGTAAATATAGATGGTTGAGAAAAAAAAAAAAAGTTACATTTTGTTGGGTAATAACTAGAAACAGGAGTATTGTTTGCTAAAAATCATGGGAAACAACTGCCTTACACTATAACAGACAGTAATTCTGTGTCAGGATGCATTTTCAAGAGTGAGTGCAACATTAAGAGGGTAGAGATTGATGGGGTCCATATGGAAACAACTACCTGAAACAATCCCAGACCGTCGCTGTCTCATGCTGCAATATCAAAGTGGTAAAAAGAACTAAGTGGATGGGCTATACTCAAAAACTGTTCCTCACTCAAAATCAGGTACAGGATCTTTAAAGTTATAGAATATAACTTAGTACATTTTAAATATATTGTACAATTATGACCCTCAAAAGTTTTTAACCTGACTTTTCTTTCAACTTCAGCAGCCGTGTATTCTCTTATCTCATACAACTTTATGTGTAAACAACTGCCATAAGCACAGTTAATCATCCAGTCCAAACTCAGTGAGGAAACAGTGGGCAGAGCGTGCAGATGCTGCGGCCGACAGAATCACTTTGTTGTGTTGGACCCGGGGAGAACAAAAGGCTGTGCGGGTGATGAGAGCCTGAGACTAAACAGAACAGACAGGGGAAAGTGGAGCGTGTGCACTGCAGAGAGGAGGTGGCCCACTGCAGGGAAGGACAAAACGCACTGAGCTAATGCATGTGTCAGCATATTGGTAAATACATGATAAAGAGGCTACAGATGAAGAGGTCAAAGTAAGGGGTAGTCAGTTATTAGAGAGTGACACTAATGCTAAGTGCTACATGAGCAACAAAATAGTCACAGGACATTTTTATGTCCGCTTGTGAACTGAACTTGTCCACTGTGTAACTTTCTGGTGGGGGGTCCCCCACCTGCTTGTCTTCATGGAAATGTTATTGCTTTGTCTAGAATGTCCCACCAAGCCCACAATGCCTCCAGGCCAGGTTACTCATCAGATCTGCGGAGAGGCAAGCTCACGCATTGTAGAAGGCATGTTTTTCATAGTATTCTGAGCAGTCAAACACCTGTAATTCAATAAATGCAACGTAGATGAGTTTAATATCAGACTGTGGAACCTTTCAGGCAAAGCAATAATAGCTCCAAGGAAAAAAGTTTGTGGCAGCATACATTAAGTTAGGACTCATCTTATTTGTTTCAATGAAAAAAAATGTAACATTGGATAATTGAAATCACCATCTATTTTTTTATTTAAAGCACAAGCACTCATAAGCTCAAAACTACTTGATTTGGTAGATAAATACTAAGTCAAAGTCAATGTTTACATTGAATCAATTTAACAGACTGAAGTTAAATTAAGTGACTCGAGAGAGAGAATTCATACAACCATATCCAAAAGACATTTAGTCATTCATCAAAGTCTTATTTCAAGTTTTAATTTCATTGGGAAAACTGCTACTCTTGGCAAAGAACTGAACATGGGGATTCTTTGAGGTTTATCAGTCATCATCTTTGGTCAAGTGTGTATTTCAAATTATAGAGGGACTTATCAAGTGGTGTTTTAATGTCATTTTAAAATTGTCCTGTGTAAGCAATTAAAGTGGGTATCAATTAATTTCAAGTAATGTTGCTTATTTCTTTTGAAACTTTTAAAGCACTCAGAAAGACAGATGACCAAATGCCCTGCACTATTAATTGGACAGTTGATTAATAAAATAATTAATAAAAGAGCAATTTTTATAATTCATTCTTTTCATATTCACAATGTGGGTTCAGTTTCATGGCACCACACTCCATGTCACTAATTTTCCATCACTTCACAGTCTATGGAGATGCACCAGTTTGAAGAAGCCATAAAAGGCGTCTTGAGCAGGGCCTACCTTTTCTCCCATCCCTGCACCCCCTGGGTTTCAATGAGCTACACCTCCGAATGAGCTGATTATACGGCTCTCTAAAGCTACCGATAGCATCAGGACAGGAATTACCAGAGGGGTAAACACACACAGAATAGATAACCCCCCGACTTAAAAGTGTGCCGTATTTCTGTTTGAAAACAGTAGAGTGATAAAAAGCAGGAGTGGGAATGCCGTCCACACACGCAATCATGATGTCAGGCCTGTGTCAGCTAAATTGGGCACATAGTTAGCAGCTAGCATGGAGAGACAGTGACTTATTGCTATTTCACCTGTGTAGCCAAGGTGAAAAACAACTTATTATGGTCCAGTTAGCATGTGACCAATACTAATGTTCCTAGTGCAATCGGTAGGCAGTATATGGTACCCTGGAAAGCTCAATGAGTCAATATCCTTGTGTCACCATTAATTACCTTAGCCTTATCAAAATAAATTAATACACAAATCAATATAATTACTTTCTAAAGACCTTGGCCAGGAGGTTTTTAACAACAGCAAGTAAATATGACTATAAATCAAAGGTGTTATCAGACATAAAGCAGGATACATTTTCTCAACAGGCAGCTCTGAAAGGAAGGTCACTTTTCTGAGGGAGAACAGAGGGCTGATGGGATGCAGTCACTGGGCTTATAGCAGCACCATTGGTATTCCAAAGTGTGTGTCTTAAACGCACCAAAAACACGGTTTATTTTTGTAACGCCATTGATTTTGGCGAGTAGTTGTGATCTATCACGCGGCGCAGCCTTGATGTTTTGACTTCACGCTATCTCCCTGGTATCTCCGCGGTGATGTACCATTATTTACCGTTGCCATGGGATGCGTGAGCTCACATTAATTAATCAATATGAGGCTATTCTCCTCGCGATGTCCCCCAGATCACCGCATATGGCACGGCCTGGTGAGATGAATGGGGAGGCACAGAGGGCAGAAGCAGTGCTGATAGCGATTGGGAGCAAATACTGGAACATTACAAAGATTAGGGGTAGAGTTTTAATTAGATACGACAAGTTTAAAAGATCAGCTGCATATATTATGTTGGAAGAACTCACTCACCTGTTGTTGAGATGCAGTTGTAGTTACCTCATAATTACAGAATAAAGTCATGTGATAAAATCTAAATCATAATCTTCACTCTCATCTAGAATACTTTTTTTTTTTCATATCAACCACCCTTTCCTCCAACCTCTGCATGCACACAAAGATACAGGCAAGGAGGTAAAGTGTCCAAGCACACAGTGGAAGTAAACTGAGCTACAGATGCCCCAAATCATTGTGACCCTCTATCTGTACCTTTTTCTTGTGTTGTTTCACTGCAATCTTAATCAATGGTAATATTATCTCATAATTTTAAGAACAGTATATTTAGCTTAAACAGTGACAAACATTAAATCTATATTTAAATAAAGTTGATGAAGTGGCTGATATAGGCTCATTATCTGTTCCTAAACTGTGTGTGTATTTTACCTTCTGTGGCAGGGAACTGAGTCTGCCCCTCTGTCTTGGCTTCAGCGAGTTTCCCTGTCCGTAACAAAACTTCAGCAAAATCTTCCTGCAACACGTCTTCATAAGATGAATGGACATCTTGACTCTACAAGGAAAAAAAATCAAGACAAAAGGATACAGCTTTTCAGTAAATATTATCCCAGCACTGAGGGAACCCCAAAAGCAGATCAACATTTGACGAAGAGAGGAGATTAGGCGCTAGTGCTTCAAAGCTGTAGAAATATTCCTGTCCATATTTCCACTATACATCAACCTGTCATGTCAAATTTGTCTTTCAATCAGATTCGCTCTCATCTCAAACAACCTGTTAAAGTGAAAACCAGAGGCATTGATCAGCTGGTTGGAAGATGGACGTGCAGAGTGGTTATTGGTAGATGGATGCTTGAAAGGAAGCCGAGAAGAGGATTTGGAGTGGCCTATTAAAATGTCATGAGGAAAGATGTATCACTGCTCTCTGTTTCTCTGTGCGTCCACTCTTTTTGCGATCCATATGATTTGTGTCTGGGAGTAAAAAGTCCAGTCAAGCCTAGGGTAAATGCTTCATAGGCTAAAAGGTCAAATTCCTTTTCTCATATTTCTGTTGTATCCGCTAATGGTCAGATTCTTTTGGTTTGGATGTAATAGTGTTAATACAATAGCCATCATTGTAATCAATCTTTATGAGATGTGGGTATCAATATGTTCAATGTGACAAATCAGATATTAACATTTTTAACTATACAGTTAACTATATATAGCATTGTACGGAAGTTATACATTATTATTATTATTATTATTATTATTATTAGTTCTGACCTGTATGGCTGTCATGCTTATCTTCATGAAGATAGATAAGGTTAATGATGTTATGTCATACTGTGGAATATTCCGACAACAATATCTCAAAGGACACTAAGCAAGCCCTACACCAGAAAAGTTATATAGTGTATCTTTCTTTCTATCCATCTTAAACGAATCTATAGCTATAGCGATCCATCCATCCATCCATTTTCGTCCGCTTATCCGGGGCCGGGTCGCGGGGGCAGCAGCCTAAACAGGGACTCCCAGACTTCCTTCACCCCAGACACGTCCTCCAGCTCCTCCGGGGGAACCCCAAGGCGTTCCCAGGTCAGCCTAGAGACATAGTCCCTCCAGCGTGTCCTGGGTCTTCCCCGGGGCCTCCTCCTGGTGGGACATGCCAGGAACACCTCCCGAGGGAGGCGCCCAGGAGGCATCCGGAACAGATGCCCGAGCCACCTCAACTGGCTCCTCTCGACGTGAAGGAGCAGCAGCTCTACTCTGAGCTCCTCCCGTGTGACTGAGCTCCTCACCCTATCTCTAAGGGAGCGCCCAGCCACCCTGCGGAGGAAACACATTTCGAGCGCTTGTATCCACGATCTTGTCCTTTCGGTCATTACCCAGAGCTCATGACCATAGGTGAGAGTAGGAACGAAGACTGACCGGTAAATCGAAAGCTTCGCCTTTCAGCTCAGCTCCCACACGGTCTGATACAGCGACCGCATCACTGCCGAAGCTGCACCGATCCGCCTGTCAATCTCACGTTCCGTCTTCCCCTCACTCGTGAACAAGACTCCGAGATACTTGAACTCCTCCACTTGAGGCAGGGACTCTCCATCCACACGGAGAGGGCAAGCCACCTTTTTCCAGTTGAGAACCATGGCCTCAGACTTAAAAGAGCTGATCTTCATCCCAGCCGCTTCACACTCAGCTGCAAACTGCCCCAGTGCACATTGCAGGTCCTGGTTCGATGAAGCCAACAGGACAACATCGTCTGCAAACAGCAGAGATGAAATCCTGTGGTCTCCAAACCGGACCCCCTCCGGCCCCTGACTGCGCCTAGATATTCTGTCCATAAACACAATGAACAGAACCGGTGACAAAGTGCAGCCCTGGCGGAGTCCAACTTGCACCGGGAACAGGTCTGACTTACTGCCGGCAATGCGAACACAGTTCCTGCTGAGGTCATACAGGGACCGGACAGCCCTTAGCAAAGGGCCCCGGACCCCATACTCCCAGAGCACCCCCCACAGGACACCACAAGGGACACGATCGAATGCCTTCTACAGATCCACAAAACACATCTGGACTGGTTGGGCAAACTCCCATGAACCCTGGAGCACCCTATGGAGAGTGTAGCGCTGGTCCAGTGTTCCACGGCCAGGACGAAAACCGCACTGCTCCTCCTGGATCTGAGGTTCGACTATCGGCCGGATTCTCCTCTCCAGTACCCTGGCATAGACCTTACCGGGAAGGCTGAGGAGTGTGATCCCCTATAGTTGGAACACACCCTCCAGTCCCCCTTCTTATACAGAGGGACCACCACCCCGGTTTGCCAGTCCAGAGGTACTGTTCCCGACCGCCACGCGATGTTGAAGAGGTGTGTCAGCCAAGACAGCCCCACAACATCCAGAGACTTAAGGTACTCAGGGCGGATCTCATCCAAGCCCGGAGCCTTGCCACCAAGGAGCTTGCCAACCACCTCTGTGACTTCAGCCAGGGTGATGGATGAGTCCGCCTCCGAGTCCCCAGCCTCGGCTTCCTCCTCGGAAGACGTGGTGGTGGGATTGAGGAGATCCTCAAAGTATTCCTTCCACCGCCGGACAACGTCCCCAGTCGAGGTCAACTGTAAACAGTGTTGGTGAAGAACTGCTTCCCCCTCCTGAGGCGCCGGACAGTTTGCCAGAATCTCTTTGAGGCCGTCCGATAGTCCTTCTCCATGGCCTCCCCGAACTCCTCCCAGCTCAGAGTTTTTGCCTCCGCGACCACATGGGCTGCAGCACGCTTGGCCCGCTGGTACCTGTCAGCTGCTTCAGGAGTCCCACGAGCCAGCAAGGCCCGATAGGAGTCCTTCTTCAGCTTGACAGCATCCCTTACTTCCGGTGTCCACCACCGTGTTCGGGGATTGCCACCGCGACAGGCACCACAGACCTTACGCCCACAGCTCCGAGCAGCCGCATCGACAATAGAGGCCGAGAATGAAGCCCACTCGGACTCCATATCTCCAGCCTCCCCCGGAGAACTTCTCCCGGAGGTGCGAGCTGAAAGTCCCTCTGACAGAGGGCTCCGCCAGACGTTCCCAACAGACTCTCACTACACACTTGGGCCTGCCAGGTCTTTCCGGCTTCCTCCTCCACCAGCGAACCCAACTCACAACCAGGTGGTGATCAGTTGACAGCTCAGCCCCTCTCTTCACCCGAGTGTCCAAGACACGCGGCCAGAGGTCAGGTGACACGACTACAAAGTCGTTCATCGACCTCCGGCCTAGGGTGTCCTGGTGCCACGTGCACTTATGGACACCCTTGTGCTCGAACATGGTGTTCGTTATGGACAAACCGTGACTACCACAGAAGTCCAATAACAAAACACCGCTCGGGTTCAGATCAGGGAGGCCGTTCCTCCCAATCACCCCTTTCCAAGTGTCACTGTCGTTGCCCACGTTGAAGTCCCCCAGGAGAACAACGGAGTCCCCGGTCGATGCACTATCTAGTACCCCTCCCAAGGACTCCAAGAAGGCCGGGTACTCTGCACTGCTGTTCGGCCCGTAGGCCGACACCACAGTGAGAGACCTGTCCCCGACCTGAAGGCGCAGGGACGCGACCCTCTTGTTCACCGGGGTGAACTCCAACACACAGCGGCTGAGCTGTGGGGCAATGAGCAGGCCCACACCAGCCCGCCGCTGCTCCCCGCAGCCAACGCCAGAGAAATGGAGAGTCCAGCCCCTCTCAAGGAGTTGGGTTCCAGAGCCCAAACCGTGTGTGGAGGCGAGGCCAACTATATCTAGTCGGTAACGCTCAACCTCCCGCACGAGCTCAGGCTCCTTCCCCCCCCAGCGAGGTGACATTTCATGTCCCCAGAGCTAGTCTCCATGTCCGGAGATCCGGTCATCGAGGCCCCCGCCGTCGACTGCTGCCCAGATCTCTTTGCACCGGCCCCATATGGATCCTCACGCGGGTGGTGGGCCCACGTGGGGATGGCCCCACGTCGCTCGTCGGGCTGAGCCCGGCCGGGCCCCATGGGGGAAGGCCCGGCCACCAAGTGCTCGCTGGCGAGCACCCACCCCAGGCCTGGCTCCAGGGTGAGGCCCCGGTGATGCCAATCCGGGCGACGTAACTGGCCTTGCTGGTACACTCATCATAGGGGCTTCTGAGCCGTTCTTGTCTGACCCGTCCCCCTGGACCTGTTTGCCTTGAGTGACCCTACCAGGGGCATGAAGCCCCGGACAACATAGCTCCCGGGATCATTCGGGCACTCAAACCCCTCCACCACGATAAGGTGACGGTTCAAGCTATAGCTATAGCTAAAGAAAGCTGTATTTATAGATAATATAAATCTTTCGATAATGAAAATACACAGCCTAATTCTAAATTCATATATAGTCTCCTCTTTAAAATAGAGCATAAGCTGTCTCTTTGATGTATTCATTTAAAATCCTATCCATCCTGGTCTCATGCCTGTCCTGCCTCATCTGCCAGTCTGTCGATCACAACGCAAACAAGGAGCAGCTCTGAGCGGGCTTCAATACGCTCCCACCTCCGCTTTGAACTCCTCCATAACACCTACGCGCTTACAGAATCCCACTATATTGTCTGCCTGCACCTGTCCACCTGTCTACTTTCAAACCTATAGAGTCTTTCTCAAACTGTGGTAAAACAGACCGGGTGGAATCAATCAATTAGTTAAGACATGATTTTTAGATCTGTTTTAGACATAGTTTAGATATGATGGTATTTTTTTCTGGAGGAGGGTCCGCCACCAATGTGTCTCCGTGTGTGATGCCATACTGTGTAGCATTAGACAAAGCCATCTCCATGGAGACAAGCGGATGGTGAAACCAGGCAAAGTTACAAGTCAGATATGTGAAGAAGCAACTCCACTAACAGAATATCTTCAAGGTATTTTTGAGCAATAAAAAACACACATACATTAAAATACATGCAAAATGTTTAATGCCATACTGTGGAACAATCCAGGCAAATCAATAACATCTCAACTACATAGTGCACATTTAAGTATTGAGTAGCATTATGTTTGAGGCCCAGTGTGTCTTTCCACTAGCCTCGGCAGGAAGACGAATTCTTATGATTTTTCTGAATCCGTCTAACATGGCAACACGGACAGACGTACCTAGGCCTATTTTAGGTGAAATACAGACTATTTTTGAAAAACATGCAGAGGTACGTGCTTTGTACATTTGTGGACGGATGTGCTTTTCTCTCATTTGGAGAGAAAAGCACAGGCCACTGTTGTGACACTTTGACCAATCAACGTCACGTCTTTGTTTGAACACTCCAATCATTGGTTCTGAACACTTTCAGTGAGATTGATGTATAGAAGTCTGTTCAGAGAGCTACCCATTTCACTCTGGTGAGAAACAGGTTATCTTTCCACTGCCTGTACTTCCATAATATGAATAACCTATGTTTATTTCAGACTCAACTCAAAACTTGTATGTTTGTTTATTAAGTGTAGAGGCAATTAACACCAGCCTTTTTTCTATTTCTTAATGCTTGTTTAATACAGAGTGTGCTTCTGTTACAGTACTTCTAAATAGCTTTTAGGCTTTTAACTACTTAGTCTAAAGTCAAATTTTATTCAGTCTCAACAGTGTTTTTTTAGTCATGGAAGGTAAGCATAATTAAATGCCTAAAGTCATGAACCTACTCAGGCAATTTTCACTGTAATTTGAAAAGGTGTCCTTGGGTAACTTGCAGAAATAAGGACCGCAGCATAGTAAAAAGGAAGAGGAAATAATGAGGCCTGATACGAAGGCACTTACCGGGTCGACATAGGGATCATCAATAAGATCTTGATAAAAGGGGCTACAGCCTTGACGCTGCAGGTTGGAGTTCTCACACGCCCCTTCCCGACTAGTGGCTCCTGCTCCGTGACCCTGAGGAGCCATCAAAACATCATTAAACTTTCACAACATGCCCACAGTCCTGTCATCTCCCTCTGTCTGTGCCCGCATTCAGACGCCTGCTCCGAACCCGAGCACCACCAGGCCTTCCCCATCACAATCTCCGCCAAGACCCCAGACACCATCAATCTCCACCTCAGCGACCACCAACAACAGACGCCGCCGGCAATCTACGAGGTGTTAAAATATTCAACATGAACCAGGATTAATTATGCAGGGGATGGGCTCTTGATTGGTTGTTTTTAGATGAGCACTATAAAAGCCTGGAATGTGTTAGAGATATAAGAGCATGTATAAATGTGCAAAAATGTGTAGCGCTATAGTATGTATATAGAGAGGAAACATATACTCCCATGTTTAATGCCAGTAGCTTTAATGTCTCTTATACACCCTCAATATAATGGCCACATAATTTTGACATTACGACACATGAGATGATACAACAACTAATTAGACCCCATAAGGTATTATTAGCTCCATGACATTTACAAATGTAGAAACAATAATTATGTTTCTTAGTTGACTTTTTCTAGGGAACCCCTTGAGAGATCGTCATGTTTGTCCAAGTGTTTGTCCAGGCGATTAAAACTAGGGCTGGGAATCACAGGGTCCCTCATGATTCAATACAGTACACAATACATGGCTCATGATACGATATTATCGATATATCGCAAATGATACACACATTTACATCTATTTTAACAACAGATAATATGTCAAGTGTATCACATAAACAAGTCTTAAAGTCTCTAAATAAGCAACAAAACTGTAGCACTGTCACAAAAAAAATGCTATAAAATACCAAAAAATACTCTTGGCAGCCCACGATAACCAAATTTGTTTTCATGATATATTGATATTTTTGCACACCCCTGGTTAAAACTAGACCATAACCATAAGAGAACTACCAGTAAATCAATGAATTTATGTGGCATAAAAGTGTCTTAGGTAGTGTCTTACAGTAGCCACCCTGAAATGTGTAGTATTAATCTTACTTGTGGCCTCAGATAATTGATTGATTCCTTCCACCAGCGATGGTCACTAACAGCGGTGAGCACAGCCTTTGTGGTCAGCCCTGTTGTAGTTAGCACCTCCATGGTTTTTGCTGTGGTTCTATGCAGTAAATCACCTGCTTTCCCCACAGGAGATCCTAAGGCCGGGGGAATGACCTGGATCAGAACAAACAAAAACATAAGAGGCTTGTTACCGAAATGACTGTTACTGAAATGTACGGCACTTCGAACATGTTTAGTCAAGAAGGAAAAATGTTAAATGCCCAGTATCCAATATTATGTATCTGAGAACGTACAGTTATATTGTATAAACAGCGCTTCAGGTCAAAATAAGTCCACTGTGTACTGTCTGCATTAGGAACTTTAATTATGGTGAATAATTAGGATGCATAAGTGGATCACTGTAAAATATTTTCATTTTTTTAAGACAGTAAATATCAGATGCAGCACCTTTAAGTCAAGAGCATAATTATGAAGTCAAACTATTTTTGCAAATAACTGCAGTTCCCAAGACTTTTTGATCACTACATCTGTACTGCTACACCAAAAGGACAGTCATGCGGGAAAGGTATCTGTAATTTGAACAGGGGCAGTCTCTTGTTGTGATTTTAATTAGGTACTCGAGAAGAAGCCCTTTAATAAGAGCAAGTTGCTCTGTTGTTCAGTCGGCTGCACTGTTTGTTTGTGCACAGCTTCTGGGAATTACAATATGCACCATTTAAGCACTAAACCTTTCAAGCACTAGTGAAAAACAACAATTGATTTCTTTGCTAAAATGTCACTTTTAATCATAAAATTTAAGATGGATATATAAATACACATTATTGATACTTTGCAGTGGTATCATGCTAGGGATGTTCTACATTTATGTGTGTGGCATAATGTTTAGAAGTTACCATGGTGACACAAAATTCAGGAGCCTGACTGTGATTTGATGTCTGACAGACTTGTTTAACAGCACAAATCAGCTCACCGGTTGTAGTTCCAACCAAATCAGCTTTGTCTTGTCAGATTATATAAAATTAAAGATCAGATTAAAATCTAATTTGAGAAACAGATCTTCAGACAGAGCAGTGCCTACAGTTAGCAATACACCCCTATGGAATGTTGATGACATATGCTGCAAAGTATCAATACAATAGTAGTTTACATTTGCAGCTCTAATAAGGATGTGCCTTAGTTTGCTGGTCTGTCTACCATCACAATCAGTTTGTTTATTTGTACTGGCTGTGGATGCAGACTATTGGAATTCAGAAGTCATATTTAAGGAATATTTTTCAAGGCTATAACAAGGTCGAAATTCCAATTGCCACAAGGGACAATTACTAAAACGAATCATTAGTTTTGCATTTTCTGCTTTTACTTCTAATTTTGCAACAAACCCTGGTAATCTGTAAAATGGATATTTAATAGTAGTTACTGTTCTGAATAACCTGTGAGACGACAAGTAAATTATTTCTTCTTCCCTAAAGAAAACATGAACCACTGATAGATCTGTGTTTTAGCTGTTTCCATGGTGATAAGAAAACTACATTGTGCCTTATCCGGGGAGCAGTGGGTTAGCGCCAAATCGTTTAGTGTCTTTCATTAATTTTTGATGTGACAAGGGGCTAAGGGTCGAGCAATGAAAGCAGCTCAAACACACACACACTTAAGATGTTTGTGCACTCAAACAGATAAATACATGTCCGGATCAGCATCCCCACACAGTGAACATGATGGTGGACCTGTGGAGTCCTCAATACAGCAATAAAATGACAAGAGACAGCTCCCAATAAGAGCTCATCCATACACAATGCAAAGTCATGAAACATTAACGCCCACTCAAGGCATCGTAAAGCTGGCAGTGCTGTACAGGAAGAGGCGCCGTAAATAACCCCAAGGAGCTGAGCAACCTTAACACTAGATATACCGCTCATTAAATATGGAGAGAGGGAAAATACAAGCACAAACAAATGAACCTCCAACAAAGGAATAATACAGAGGAAAATACGATTTAATGTGACACATACTTTGGCAGCGTCCGGCTCGTCACCTGGTGCACCGCTCTCAGGCTCCATTTGATAGTTAACTGCTTGATACAGCACCTGCAAAACAAAACAAAAAAAACACAGTATAACACGTTTTGATTTGTTGGTTTATTTTTAACATGTCAAACAATATCAGGGGAACTGGTAAAAGCTGTTGCCAAAAGCCAAATGGGCAAAGATTGCAGCACTTTATGAAAACATAATTTTCTCCTTGTACAAAATGGCAGTTATTGTGTTTGTAGTATAGCTCAGCTCCTTGTGCTGTGACAGCGTGAAATTGGACATAACAGTTGAGTCAAATTGGAATAACACTGCATTTACACTTAAATAATGCACAAAAAGGAATAAACATTTATAAATGGTGTAAGAAAAAGAAATGTTGTGACACTGCAAAATACAAAATCGGTTTGCAAATATGGTTAAACACACAACAGTCCATATTTATACATGTCATGTCCAAAAATGAATACACTGATTATAGCACAGAGTAATGCTAAATTTGTTTTTGGGGGCAGACAGACAGATCAAACCATATGATCACAACACTTGTCACATAGTAACAACAACATATGGAATAGAGCGGCGCACTCAGGAGCTCTCCAAGGTCCTGAATGCCCTGTTCTATTAGTTTTATGTTAGATACACATCTATTAAAAATGTATGAGATAATAACAACACACAAATCACAAATCAAACTTTTCAGAGTCCTCATGTTTCACAGTTACTTTTGAACCACACTGGGTTATTTTAGTGAGCGAGACCAAGTCTGACACAGAGAAGAACTTGCTATCTCCCACTGTGTGCTGCATATGGGTGTCACCATGATAATGTACCAGAACTAATTCTACTTTTTTATGTGCACTAGATGTGCTTCAAAGAAATGTGAGATTGAGTGAATGTATTGAGTGTATCACACAGTGGCCATTTTAATTTAAAATGGACATTTTAGTGAAGTTTATAATTTGAATTCCTGGTTAGATATGTGCAGCAGATGACATAGTAAGTCAATAACAAGGAACCATACATTAAACAAAGACCAAAGCTTGTCTAATATTTCAATAGTTATGATTTCACAAATAAAAAATATATGACAACTCCTTTATTTTCTTGAATTAATGTTTAAACTGTAAAATGTATCCCTTTGCGTGTGCATTTGCCCCTGCATTTGGCTCTGCACAAAAAGATTTACACAACTACAGAATGTAACATGAGTTGAGGCAGCAGGAAGTGCCCTCCTCTTACTATACCATTTGCAAATTAAGATTAAATGGAAAAAACGTATGAATGCTGACACATAATATGAGTACATAATACGAAATTAGCATACTGCATAGTGCATACCTGTGTTTGCAGATCACTGGAGGCAGCTAGCAGCGTCTGGATGTGATCAGGAGGACAGTGCGTGAGGGAAAAGGCTAACAGCTCTTGCCGGGCTTGTAGGTCCCCATAATCCTCACACTGCCCGAGCTGACTGCACACATCCCAGGCCTGGCTGTAACCTGCAACAACAACCACCACGACGGAGCTGTCAGACACTAGCTGGGTGCCACAATTATTTATTTCAGACTTAAATGTGACTTGGCAGTGAAAAAGATAAGAGCTTAATCCTGGGAGATGACATGTCTAACCTTCAGAACCTGGAGATATTAATAAATGTTTGTGAAAAGCTGCTTCCCTTTTGAAGAAAATATCAGCCCAAAGCATCGTAATAACGGCTCATATTGTTCCAGCTTCATCATCGTCAGAGTTGAGCGCCGCACCGACTTCATTGTTACAAACAGATTCAATTATTCCCACAGGCTGGCAGACGGAGCCAATGTGTAATCAGATAAGGACCAATGCTCTGACACCTTTAGTTTCAGTCTAGTCTGTTCTATTACTCAGTAGTGCATTTGGGATTATGTGAGGTACCCCAAACTGTAAGATTTAAATAGGGTCAAAATAGTATCAGCTTCATGATCATATAAAAAGCTCTCCAGGAGAATTCTGGGGATATAGATGTAATAGTCAGAAAGTAAAGGGACAGTTTCTTTTAAAACAGCCATTTTCTGAGAGCAAGATGTTACAAAGCCCAGAGCAATCATAAAAAAAACCTATCCACCAAAAGATAAGATAAGAGTTACAGGCGCCGAACAGAGGCACAAATTAGAGGATTCTGGATGGAAGAGGTGCCTTCTCATAATTCTATTGCTATGACCAAAACCAAATAGTTTTACATTTTTAAAGGGTCCCTATTATGGTATTTTCTGATCTGTTAAAGTGCTCATTATTAGCAAACAGTATCTGGAGTTGTGTTTCATTGATACATGTTTAACACACAAATCCTGCTTATTTAGCTGGAGTTCTTTTCTTAAACAGAAAACATTCGATTCCACCTTGTGATGTTGTGTGGTAATACAGGAAGTACTCCACTGTGTTTTTAAGCACCATACACCTTCATTGGAATTAATTGGATGATTTCAGCTGTGGAATTTCAATTTTCTACTGAACTAAAGGTAAAAGCTAGTTGTTAACTTGAAAACAACCACTACATGGCATCACAAGGAGGAACAACACATTTTGAATTTTGAGGATGTAGACAAACTAAGGATTACTCAAACATGCATAAATAAAACAAAACAAACTCCAGGTATCTTTTAAAGAAGGTAACAACATTTTAACATGGCTCAGATCAATTTGTCTAATATTAGACTCTTTGTGTAATATAGGACTCTTTGTATGAGAGTCACATGGAAATGACTTAATGGCATAAAACTAAACTTGTTTAGAAAAACCTTTTATCTCATAAGCTTAATTAATTCAATGCAAATATAACTCCTGCATAAGCATCCTGTACAGAGTAAATTAAGAATGGGTAAACAATCCCACTTAACAGGCAAACTGGTACACAAATCTGACACAATTTTACAGTCAGTGGTTCAGCACTTCTTAATCTTGTATATTATGCGGTCTATAGTAATTTTGCAAACCAGATTGAGAGATAATACTTTTTTTTTTTAAACAGAGCTTCTTGATCTTCAGTTTCACTAAAATTTGCATTTTAACAATTGAGATTTCTAAAAGATTTGAACATGATGTAACTTTATGAAATGCAGTTGTAGTTAGACTGGTATTTTGTATGTGCTTTGTACCTGCAGACATCAGATCGCGGCAGTGGATATAAGAAGCCTTAAAGTCTGGACTCTGAAGCGCCTGCTCTGCCAAAAGGGTCAAGACCTGGCCTCTCCTGGAGGCCTCATCATCCCCTGGACAAACACACAGAGGTGAGAGCAAAACAAGAGACAGTTAGACAAAAAAAAAAAAAAAAAAAAAAAAGAACAATAATATCAGAAAACATAGATATCGGTCATTGTTGTGGAGCAGTTAAGATCATTTAAAGGGTTGGTTAGTCAGCGAATATTATTTAATTTACTTTAGCGTTTCTATTTCTATGAATTACAAAATAATTCATCCAGTTAAAAGGTGAAAATATTTCAGTCAGAGGCTTTTTGATCTTGATAGAGAATATTTATAACAACGGAGCGACTAGCTGCTTTTGTGGCTACTTGGCTCATACACTGAGCAGTTTTTGAAACTTTTTTGTTTTTTAAGCTCAGTTTTTAACAACCTATCTTGGAATTTTGACTAAGTAAGAATGTGCAGCTGAAAGGACACAAGTAAAGGACTGCTGGATTTTCTGAAAATAAGTGTTTTTCCTGTATCCATGGAGATTGTGCAAGAGGCTAGCTAAGGGGCTAGCTATGGACCTTTGAGATGTTACAGGCTTTTTACACCGTACTGTATATGGGAGCAAATGTGGGAGAAGATGTTCCAGGAGAAATACTTTGAGAGAATGGACCGTTTTGTCACCAACCGAAACACGGAGTGGAATAAGAACGCTAGCTGAGTGAAGTAAGAACGCCAGCTGTGTAACATAAGAACACTAGCAGCATGGTGAGTGAGTGGCTAGCACTCATGCCTCACAGTAAGAAGGTTCCAGGTTTGATCCCCGGGTCACCCGGGCTTTTCAGTGTGGATTTTGCATGTTTCTTCCCATGTCTGGATGGATTTTCTCCAGGCATTCTGGTTTCCCCCATCAACCCAAAACATGCTACATAGGTCTCCAGGAAGAACAGTTGATAGCTAAGGTCAGTTAAAGACAATCAATGAACCTGCCCAGGGACTACAGGTTACATGCTACAGGCAAATTAGCACTGGTGCTACAACCTGGTACAATGCATCTCTCCTATTAAGGTTAATGTAAAAATTGTTGTCCCTGTCTCATTAAATACATAAGTAAATAAAGCTGTGGACTATATTTTGGTGACTGACACTATTTCATTTTGACATTATTGGTGATGAATATTTGGTTTAGTTGGGTTAGTATTTACATATTTTCCCATGCACATAATATTTGGAATTTAGGGAAAGTTATTCTTCCATTCCATTCCATTTTCTTCCGCTTATCCGGGGCCGGGTCGCGGAGGCAGCAGTCTAAGCAGGGACTCCCAGACTTCCCTTTCCACGCACACTTCCTCCTGCTCTTCTGGGGGAACCCCAAGGCGTTTCCAGGCCAGCCGAGAAACATAGTCCCTCCAGCGTGTCCTGGGTCTTCCCCGGGGCCTCCTCCCAGTGGGACATGCCCAGAACACCTCCCGAGGGAGGCGTCCAGGAGGCATCCGAAACAGATGCCCGAGCCACCTCAACTGGCTCCTCTCAACATGAAGGAGCAGCGGCTCTACTCCGAGCTCCTCACGTGTGACTGAGCTCCTCACCCCATCTCTAAGGGAGCGCCCAGCCACCCTGCGGAGGAAACTCATTTCGGCCACTTGTATCCGCGATCTCATCCTTTCGGTCATTACCTAGAGCTCATGACCATAGGTGAGGGTGGGAACGAAGACTGACCGGTAAATCGAGAGCTTTGCCTTTCGGCTCAGCTCCCTCTTCACCACAACGGTCCGATACAGCGACCGCATCACTGCTGAAGCTGCACCGATCCGATCCCCTTGAACTGCCACCTTACCGTGGTGGGGGAGTTTGCGTACCCGAATGATCCTAGGAGCTATGTTGCCCGGGGCATTATGCCCCTGGTAGGGTCTCCCATGGCAAACAGGTCCTAGGTGACGGGGCAGACTAAGAGCAGTTCATAGAACCTCTATGAACTGTATTAAAACAAGGACCGTGACGTCGACCGGTATGGCGCAGCCGGGGCCCCACCCTGGAGCCAGGCCTGGGGTTGGGGCTCGAAAGCGAGCGCCTGGTGGCCTTTGCCCACGGGGCCCGGCCGGGCTCAGCCCGAAGGGACGACGTGGGCCCGCCCTCCTGTGGGCTCACCACCCGCAGAGGGTTTCATAGGGGTCGGGTGTGATGTGAACTAGGCAGTGGTCGGGGTCAGGGATCCCGGCAACCTAGTCCACGGACACAAAATCTGGCTGTAGGGACGTGGAAAGTTATTCTCTAGTCCACTAATTTCCAAAGTGAGGTCTAGGACCCCCTAGGGGATTGAGAGGTACTGCAGGGCGGCCCAAAGGTGGTCCACACAACAAGCATAAAAGAAAATTGAGCTTGAAATTAACATTACACAATTTATTTGTTTCATTTACTAGTTTAAATTAGCATTAAGTCCATATACATTATGATATGTACTGTTAACATGTACATTTGAGAGGAAAACATTACATATTGTTTTGAACTCAGTATGCATTGTTGTTGGGGGACCCTGTACAATCTTTAGATAAATAGAAGGGCCGTGGCTCTACAGATTCTAGATAATAATTATTGATTTTTTCAAACATTTCACTAGTTGATTAGTCACATTATTCAGATTAGTCACTGCAGCCCTACATTTACAATTCATGCAACAGCTTGAGAATAACTTTTGATGTGAGTAAACAAACTGGTGGATCAAACAAAACGCCGTCAGAACATGGAACAAACGTGTACACTGAACATCAAAGAAGAAGATAATGGAACACTATAAATTGTATTGTGTGTTTGAATGCCACAGTGTTGAAGAGGTGTCTCGGTCAAATATTTTCAGGAGGTCTACAAAGGGTGGGACTTTATAACAGATGTGTGCATCATTGGACACGATGCTTTGATCATCACTTTTTGAGTTAACATATTGGAAATTCAGTTGACAGCATTACCTGCCCTTGATGGCCCAATCAAAGAAGATGAAAAAGGAAAACCAGGAAGTATTACTAAGCTAAAACATGAAAACTTAAAGTGCTAACATCAAAGATAAAATAATAATCATTGTTATTTTGGAATAAATGATTGGTCAAAAACTCAATTTCTCAACCTATTATTAAAGAACCAAGGCCTTAGGGGCGGGTAACATCAAATATTCAGCACATACTCCCAGAGCGGTGCGCCCTTCAAAAGCCTCCCCCCTACATTTATTTATTTAAAAATGTGTTTATTCCGTCTCTCATCTCCCACTATCTAGAGTGTCTGATGCCACACAGAGCACAGAGTCGCCTGCTGGCTGGATGTGAGTAGCAGGAGAAGAAGGAGAGATGCCACAGGGGCAGTTAGCGGGTTTCCTCTCAACAATGACAAAAGGAAAGGTACAATTTAGGAGACAGAGGAGAGAGGTGTTGGGGGCCAGATGGAAATGGCACACATGATACAATGACATTTGCTCTAAAAAGCAACAGTGTAATGCAAGTGTATTTATGTAGTGGATTTCTGATTATTTTTGCACAAGAATAGTACAATGGTCAAATAATAAGTGGCAATTTTTGTGTCTGAATCAAAGATCAGCCTTTTTAAGTTTTTCAACAAATAAAAAAAAATCAACAACTAAATGAATAAAGAACAAAATTTAATAAATAACAACATTTTAAAATCTCAATGTATAGGATTTGTTAGAAAATGTTGTTAGCTTTTGTTTGATTATTAATGTTTGTGTAGTTTTGTGTGTGTGATAAATGTGGATATTGTGTTTTGTGTGTGTGTGTGTGTGTATGTGTGTGTATATCATTTCAACTGAAAAACTAAAAACAAACACACAAAAAAACTTGTCTTGAGAAGTTTGGTAAATTTGTGTATAGATTGAACTGATATAAAAATATGATTATGCAAATCAAAGATAATAGCAAGAAATTATCATGACTAAAAAGTGTTCATCTAATAAATATACATACAAGAATGACACCCCAGTAGAGATCTTAAATAACTAACCTGGGAGGAGTTTTCACACTGAAGAGAATACCATTTGCTGCTGCTTCTGTGTATGTGTGTGTTTAAGTATAGATTTTTGCTCGTAGCTTTAACAGCTCTCATGAAGATAAATTTCCCTCCTGAGTGCGAGGCGCGTCACTTGATAATCTCTGGTTCAATTGTGTGTCTTGTGTGGGCGGCCCCTCTCTCTTCATCTCCAGGGCTTTGTCACCACACTGCCACCGGACAAGAATCAGCCTCATCTGATGTTAATCTCAAAGACATTTTCTAAAGGGACAAAATGTTGGTTGTGTGGAGAGACAAGAGCATGCTTAGTGGAGTGTTAATACCTGCCACTCGGAGGAGACTGGCCAGATTGAGCAGAGTAGCAGACTGCTTGTAAGCCTTGGAGCATTGGGCGATGCACTCTTTTATGAGAGACAGACGATCAGACCTCAGTCGCACTGGGAGGAGACAAAAGAGGAATTACGTTAGAGAAAGCCATGTCACATTGTACAACTGTTTTTCTACAAATGTATACAATAGAGTTGGGCCATTTCTTTTTGGCAAATACCAGAGTTGTCAAAATAAATACATACACAAAATATATTTTGGCCTTTCCTAAATAGTTTTAGAATGGCCATGAACTTGATCCTAAATTGTATAAAACCATATGATAAGTATAGAATATAAGAGAAAACTATATTTTGTGTTGAAAATTACATTAAACTGTATTAAAACTTAACTTAAATAACAAATAAATAAATTATTGCAATATTATTGGTATTGCAATTGATACAACGTATTGTGCCTTCAAATTTTTGTTTTATGAAGTCGTTGGAATGGGGAGCTAAAGTCGCTAATTTGCATTTAAGGATCTAAGGATTTTAGAACTACCCACAGTAACATTGAGACATATTAAAGATAGCATTGCAGGCCATTCAGTTAGTGTGCACCAGTCTTTAAATTATTCTACATAAACAACGCTTCCATCAGCTAATCTGTAGCATCAGCATATGTCTCTGTGGTACATTAAACAAGAGAAATGGGTTCAAAATGTTCCTGATGCCATAACAGTAGCAGAATGCCAGAAAGACTGTCTGGCGCTGATGCACTGTTCTTGGCAGAGTTGCCTTTTGACTGGCTCAGTCTTGTCCCAACATCCCATCAGAGAAAACCCATTTGTATTGTTTAATTTATGAATACCACTTGATGCATTAATAATAAGATAAGGCTATTTCAGCTTAGTCAACATAACTTTGAGTATTGACTTTTCCTTGATATATTATCTGTCCAGCGTGAGCTTGTCAGGCTGACGAGGAATAATGGCTGAAATACTTTTGTTAAAAATGTCTTGAATCCGAAAAACTAAGGGGTAACAATTTCAGTACAGTTGCTTACAAAGATCTTTATAATTTATCAGGCAAGACTAACCTTAAGCCATGTTAAAACAAACAAAAACATATTTTACACCACCATTCTTTTTAAAATGCATTTTTTTTCTAAAACTAAAAACAAAATTTGTTTCTATTTTACCTCCCTGAAACATGCAGGATTGGCATGCTTTGTGCCTCTACAGCACCCCACGCTTCCCAAACAGTTCCTTTGAGGGTCTTAAATGCTTGGCATCACTTTGGGCAAGGCCTGCAGGGAATTCTGGGAAAAGGTGGTGCGTGTGAAGTAGTGCCTAAGGCTCAGTGGAGTGTTGTGGGAGATGGATTACCTTTCTGCTTCATACCTGTGGCTGTTTATCTGTTAGGCATATGCATGGTACAATCATTTTACTAGAAAATAAGACTCATAGTCCAGTGTAGTATATGTGTCCCTGTGATAATACCAAGAAATGTTCCAAAGGCCCAAAAGCAATAACAGAGCCTCAAATAAACCTTAAAAGTGTGCTATGTAACATTTCTGGTAAAAGGCTTGTTACCTGCTTGTCTCCAACATCTCCATGAAGATGTTGACTTTCCTAGGATGTTCCACAGTATGACACTAATAATTCTTGTGTAACATTCCATGCAAAGTAATGGCACCTCCTTAGCAACAAGCATGTGACGAACCTACCAATCGAAAAGTTACATAGTGCACCTTTAAATAAGCTGTATGGGGATTTGAACATTTAACATCACATTTATAGTTTTTGTGCAGATTCTGTTCCATTTTGGTTGTATTCTCTAGCACTAGCAGCATTTATCTTTTACTACAATTAAGCAAATCTCTTTCAAACCAGTTAAATGATTAGTAGGGAAGTAGTTACAAGCCAAATCTTTTTTTTTTTTAAGTAACAAGGCTATTGATTCAAACAGAGCCTTAACTCATGGCTTGTTTGTGGGGCAATAGCAAAAGTTGTGGAGGAAGCAATGTGACCCGAGCACACAATGAGAAGAAAAAAAAATAAAACATGGTGTACAGCTCAGCTCATTTTGACGAGGGCAAAACGGGGAACAGAACAGGTCCTCGGGGGGCACAAACACCTGGGGTTAAAGGTAAGTTGATAAGAGGCCAGGCCGGTTTATTCTGGCTTCACAATTTCCTCAAAGGGAGACAAATCATACAGAGGTGCAGCAGTTGTGCGCTGATATGGAGCCAAGAAAGCATACGGTGAATACTGATGAGTCAGGCTTATAAACACAAATTCAAAAGCGTTACACACACAGTTTAAAAGCATTCTACATTCCTCAATAGTAATTAAGTCATCACACAGATGTTGTTTGCTCAGCTTTTCATTCATAAACATTCATACATTTGTATACAGTAAAGAGAGGGCTGACACTTTGAGAAATGCAGAGAACGCTGGCAGCTGAAGTGCTTAAGGAAATTAAATCTTATTTCAAATGACTCTTATTGCAAATGACAAATTAACAACAGATTATGAAAAGTGTAGTGATGTAGTATGAGAAACTCCTCCTCATCACCGTGTATTGCTGTGGTTGTGTAGTTGTACCTTGAAGGGGCAGGATGTTGACATTGAAGTCCTGGAGTTGGCTAAGGGCGCTGATGAGGTCCAACTCCTCTTGGACGGCCCGGGGACAGTCTGTGATCAGCTGCAGACAGGCCCTGTGAGAAAGGTAAGCTCACATGAAGCTACAAAGTACAGGTAGTATTTTTGTATCAACTGTTAGTAGAAATGGCAAATTAACTTCCTCTTGTACCATCCATAAATACTGTTAGTGTTACTGTTATTCAGTGTTGAATCATATACCGGTATAATATATTAACACTGTACACTGTGCTGTTTTCAGGTGCAGAGTCCAACACTTGTTTGCCTGAATGGAGATGTTATTGAATTTAATTGAAATACATTGAAAACATGCATTTTTACTGTGAGCAGGTCTGCCTCTCTATAGATTTGACCTATAAATTGACCTAGTGGCACCATTTGCTTGTTTCCATGAAGAAAAAATTAATTCCATGCTGTGTAATATTCCAGGAATAGCAATAACATTTCGAGAGAGATAAACAGCTGGCTAACCTCCACAAGAAAGTTACACTGGGCACTTTTAAGGAATGGCATTAGTAACAATTCCTAGTAATTGTAGTAGAACATTTCACACTTGCATAACATACATACAAAACTAACCACTAATAAATGCTCACTAAATAGAGGAAAATGTATTGTTGAGGGAGAAAGACAGATTATTTGGTTAACTTTGCAAAGACACTGCTCCTTTAAGTTAGTCCGAGTTTCAATGTGTCATTTCAGGGTAAACTGGATTTATTTACACAGTCTAGACTTGTTCGATGGATCTGCTACAGAACTGTTTCTTTTAGCAGAAATCCACACTCATTACTCTAATAGGATTATGTGCTGGCGTCCCCTGCTCAGAATGTAACTCACATTTGCTTGGATTTTCTGTATGCAATTAGAACAGTGAGACAGAAATTGGTAGGAGAGAAGCGGAATTATTAATTTACAAATAGCACAAATACCAACAGCTTAGAGGGGATTTTTAGACGTCCTTGGGTCTCTTTGTGAATAGAGATAGAATTTGAAGAACTGTGTGTAATCTCAGTCACCAAAAACTTTAAAGGAAAGCTCTTTGAAAAGGGCATGCTGGGCAAAATAGTACTCCAGCAGTTTGTTGCTTTGAGTAGAGTTATGGTGTTCTTGCCAGGAACAAGAGGGTTGTCCTGCTGAAATGAGGCTCGAGGAGAATGAGAGAGCGAAGCAGGCCATGTTGATTATGTACTTAAGTAGTGAAGTGTCCACAGGCCTCTATCACAGCAATAGAAAAATAACAAGATATTGTGAACAATTTGCACTGCAGAGACTGTTACAAGGACAGTTGGATGGGACCTCAAATTATTATTGTGATTAAATGTGACGTCTCTCATCAATTCAGTTTGGAAAGATTGAATTTGCGACAGTAAGCGCTAATAATGTAATAATGCAAATTCCACTTTATAGAAGAAAAATTGTGTTTTGCCGAATCAGTTGTCCAAGTGGGATCCATAATAAAAGAATGTTAAATTCAACAAAGTCTTAGCTGAGAAAGAAAACATTTTCCGAATTGCTGTTTTAATGGCTCTTATTAGAAAATCACAAAAGCTGCAAATCTCATAATTACCTCTGCAAAAACTAAAATAGTCTGTCTTTTTGGATGACCTGCTAACCCCTTAAATGCATAGAGGTCTTAATTTAGTTCATATTTCCGTCTTTGCTGATATGCTCCTAGACACACTGAATATGTGCCCTTATGAACAAAATCCTCCATTAAATATTATCAAACCACAAATCTAATTGCAATAACAATGCTGGTCAGAAATATTGCAACTGTAAATACTGCATAATGTACATAGTTGTAAAAGTCCTAAATACTTCAAGAACTAGGTATTTCTATTAACTACTATTTTGGGCATGAGGTGGAGCAACACTGGAGTGAGACTAAAACATATTCTGTGGACTAAACATGCAATTCCTTCACAAAATTTCACAGCTGGATTGAAATTTTCTGTCATTTAATGGTTGTAATGCATGGCTTTGTTGTGAATAATAGTAGTTGGGATTCCCATGTTATTTTCGGCATCTCTTTTATCATGGTGCCTACTCCTGTGTGATACCACTGACCCTCCCATCCATTCACGCTGCCATCACGTGCTGTTGTCCTAATATGTGTGTAGCCTTTAGCACACACTCCATTAGTATGTGTGTCTGTGGGACAGTTATTTTTGTCTAGAGGACGCTACACCATGCTTTATGTGGACTATTAATTTCAGAGCGAAAGGCACACGTCCAGACTTTCTGTCACCCACAGCTCCAAAAACCCACACAGCACCATAGAGTCTCAAAGGATTATACTGTCCACATCTATGGAGGGGGCAAGTCCATGTTAGTTACTATAAATGAATGACGACCCAATTACTGCCCCAATCTCCCACTAGGAACAGATGGGGAGGTTACACAGCCACTGGCACCCCTCAGAGATCGGAAATAGCCATAGCTCTGCACATATAAAACACGCCTCCTGTTATGTGCTCAGGGAAATGAAACACAAACAGATATTATTACGCCTTTAGCTCAGTCATGCAAGCAATAAAAGCACACATCCTCCCACACTGTAATGTGGTGAACTAAATGTAAAATAGTCATCAAAAATTTGAAATGATGGGATATTTAATGTGTTGACTCTCTATAGAGCAATGACAATAAAGAGCTGCACAGGACTCAAACTGGCGCAATGTTTCAGAGGTAATTGCTTCATTAGCTTAAAAAAAATTAGTCCCTAATGATTCTTTAAGATATTGCCAATCAAGAACTTCAAATTTATGAAGCACTGAATAATTTAAATGAACAGACCCATTCTATCAAAACTACTTTTACTGTTCTTTCTAAACTTTTTGGTACAATTTAGAGGAGCAACAGCAACAGTTTGCTGCAGCAAAACTTGAATGGTGGTATGATTTGAATGGCGATGCGTGTAGACGTAGCGGCCTCTCGCTCTCCCAGTCACTGTCTATGCATGGGATCAAGAGAAACATAATTTCGATTTGTTTGTATGTCTAGTCCATGTGAAGAAATTGACAATAAAGATAACGTTAAACTTTATTCCCACCTGGCGAGGTGCATGCAGGGGTCAGTTAGAGTTGTTGATGAGTTGAAGTATTCTCGGGCTGCAGCCAACACCAATTCCACACTGTTGTCATAGGGCACTTTCACGGCATGGCCTTTACCCCGGAAAGACAAACTCACAGGAACATCCTGGTTCACCTGCAGCCGCAGTAGATCAGAGAGAGAGAAAGAGAGGATGCATTATAGAAACTTTGGAGGCTTTGAGAGAGCCAGAGGAGGCCTTCTCTGAAGACCAGTCTTATTTAATATACCTTAGAGCAGTGCATGAGCTGTCCCGCCAGGCGCACGTTCTCCACCAGGCTGGAGCACAGCAGGGACTCCACAAAAACCTGCAGCAACATTCACTAAATATTTAACACAAAGAAGTATCTATGCACAAAGTTTGAAAAGGGTTCATTTAAAAATCAGGTTTTTGTTTTTTCACAAACTCAAGGTTGGTCCAATTCATCATATCTGACCACTGCCTACTGCCATATTTTCCTTGAGTAAGGCCATCCACCTCACCTATGCAAGGTTGTTCAAATGACTGTGATTGATGTCTCTGATGGCACTACAGAAGACTAATACTATACAAATATTGTGTCATTGCTATAAGCATATAACTGATATAGTGGAAGCAAAAAAAAAAAAAAAACTAATTTCGCAAGTGATCTGACATTAGTAAAGATAGTCTGATGAGGTTCAGTAAAGATTTTACTATTAAAAGTTGTAAGTTGTAACAGTTCCTCAGTCAACAATTATTTATTGAAAGCAGTATTTACTATTTGCTAATAAAGTAACTCTGGTCCAAATCCAAGTCTGGCAGATTGTTTTTTATTTTTCTGCCTTGACTGCCTCAAATATTTCCCTGCTGTGTGAATGCCTTTGCCCAGTGAATGGATGCTTTATTTTGTTTTCGTTCCAGTAAAATGGGATTATGGCCAAGGTCTTATTTGTTGTGTTGAAATACCTGATGGCAAGTCTCCGGCTTCAGACAGCTGTAGACGTTTTGCTGCATGTCAAGTAGGTCTTGCAATAGCCCCCTCCACACAGTCTCACTCACGGGAGGTTTTCTGGATCAAATAAGCCTCATTCGTTAGCTTGAATAAGACCTTAATTAGCAGAGATGAGCTTTATATTTGTTTACATACTTGCGTCCAGTGTGCCGACACAACTTGACCATTAGCTGATATGCTTCTTCTTCACTGGTCTGGCTGTTTTGCACAAATGAGATGGGCTTCTGCAGACCATGTTTTTCTAGGACCTCTGCCACACTTTTAAAAAAGAGAAGCATTTAAAATAAGAACCAAAGCACTAATTCTGTAATGGAGTACAGTACATATTTTAAACATATCCCTCTGCCTATTCCTCTTTCTTATCCAAGACATTATAGAAAGTTAATCCTAGCAACAAAGAAGTTTAGTCAGCTACACTCCTGAAAACTGACAGAAAGAACTACTACTACTGTTATTCCTCACATTGTCTCATCTTTAATTATGTAGGCAGCCAGTCTTCTTCTTATCAGTGAAGCCTTTTGGTGTGTGACATTTTATATTTTTATAAAAAATTGAACTTCATATTTAACATTCCAATTTATATTTACCAATTAAGCTAACATTGTCTTTTAATGGTAAGGGCCCATAGTAATATACTGAAGACCCACCCATTCAACAACTTGGCAACATTTGAAAACAAAATACTCCAAGATGTATTTGTGCTGTACAAACTGCAATGGTATAGAACTACATGATAAACGACATGGCAGGGCAGCAGCCGCTCTTTTGTAAGCTAGCTTGTGTGTACGTGCATGCATAAATGTGTGCTGTCTCTCATGACTGAGTGAGAGGAGGTCTGTGTACGCGCTTCTGTGGGATTAGCATGGCAACCCCAGTCTCAACAGGGTCGTGCCGCTACAGATGTTCTCTCTCTGCTGCAACTCATTACCATAGTAAACAGGTGCCTAAGAGCTGAGCGCGCGAGAGACGGCCGAGAGACAGCCAGTCCGATCTCAGCCAGCACTATTTGTCTGTGCGTAAATGCATGGATAGGGAGTGCCTCCATGTTCCCTTCACACGGTAATGTGAAAATAGCATGGAGGAAACAGCCCCTATTCACAGGAAAGGCTCTTTGCATTTAAACACGTGTGACTTGGGGCGATTCACAATGTTTTAGCACAGAACATTAGAAAACATGTTACCAGTTCCCAAGGGGATGTTTGCATGTGTTTTAGATGTATAAATGCAAAGTTACAGGCCGCAAGAGTTATAGTGGTACATTATGTCCTGGCTCAATGTAGTTTGCCTGTGATTATGCAACGTTGAGCGTACATTATCATTATGTTTAATAAATCCTTTTTTTTTTACCTTTTCCTTGGGATTCAAATTCAGTTGCTATGTTCTAAGTATAATTTATTATACTTAGAATTTGTTCTTTTTAAGTACCGGTAATTTTTAGCATTCAGAAAAGTGTCCCAAATACCTTGCCATTTAGGAAGACACAAGATTAATTATGCTTAAAATGTGAAAACCCTCATAGAATATCTCACAAAAAGTGTCATCCACTTTGCAGATGCATTTTTTTGCTTGTTGCTTAACCTAGTGAGAAAAAAAATGTGGGTCCGAACATGCTCCATGATTTTGATATGTAGATTCACATGTTGAACTGACATGTCCTTGTGATGAATAGAAAAGCATAAGACCCTGCCAAGTTGTGCATTTCTATGACCTTATCTGCTTTTCTTATAAACCTATAGCTCCACCTTTCCTCATACTTCTATAAAGCATTGCTGGAGGCTATATGACTATCTAGTAACACCCAAGGGTCTTAGGATATTGAGTTAGCTTTAGTGTGTTTCTACGGCACATCAATGTCTCTTCTTTTCCTCAATGTTTTCCATCAGGACACTAATGGGGGAGGGAAGTAATAAGCATCGCCACAAACTCTTCCCAGCAGTGCAGCACTAATCACTGAACTGAAGGGAGCTTCTGAGCAATTTAACAAGACAACAGCCACAGCCGAGACATATGGGTGAAGGATGAGGCGGAGTCAGTCTTCAATGGGGCTGTGAGAATGATTAAAGCTACGAAGCAGATTAAGTTATAATCATCTTGCTAATGTATTTTCTAATATGCATTTGATTTGATGATTAATTGAACACTCATGTCTTGGTGCATGCTGTTCCCAAGTGCGGCAGAGGAATTACGCATTGGGAGGGGACAAGCCTATAGGAGGTACCTGAGGTGTTTCTCCAGTTTGTCCACCTGGTCGTGAAGGGAGGGGGTGATGGCAGTCTCTGGCCTGGAATATGAAAACAGAATAATTTTGTGATAACAGGCTTAGACAAATGAGTAACACAATTCGCCACATATGCCTACTCAGTGTATACATCGTCATAGAGAAGATAAGCATAAATAAGACAGTACGTAAAATATTATGTTAAGCACAGTAATACATTTACCAGGTTATTGTTGTAAATTATTTTATTAGTTTTATTTGACCTATTGGATAAATAAAGTTTACTTTAATACTGCTATCCTCATCTCACATGTTACTGCAGAAGATTGAGAATTTGTACTATGTTCTTAGTGAGATAAAACCTATATTGTCAAACATGAGATTATATTTTTAGATTACAATATTTGTAAGATTGACTACCCTGATGTGAAGTCATCTTTATCATCAGATTAGGCTACAAAGTAAATACTAGCCGATTTAAAGGATTAGCTTTGGCAACTCAAAGTGAGTGATGGTTCAATTTTAAGGGAGAATGAAATAGTTTGTATTCTAAAAAAGTGGCAGAGAACTTCATGCAGTAGAACATTCATTCATCTGGAGAACATATCAAAGATGTCATATGAAGCAAACAGCGTGATGTGTTTCTGACAGCTCTTTTGACAGACTGACTGACATCTGGATGGTGCAAGACACAGCTCAGTCCTGCTCCTACACATGTGCCCAGCCAGTACTAAGTGTATATATGCTAGTAGCGCTATGCTCCTGCCCTGTGCTTTCACTAAAAATAAAACCCTGTGATTCTGTGCCTTCAGGCAAAGGATTCTGGGTCGTACCAGAGTGTCCCCCAATGGAGCACTGACCCTGATGAAACCACTTCCTCTCTTTTTGTGTGTGTGTGAGAAAGAGCCTGCCTCTCAATCAATTCCTCTGCACCTCTCACTTAATATGCACTGGCGCTTTTCTGCCCCACCTTTTTAATACCAAATTCTTCCTCATTCTCTCCCTCCACACAGCATAATCCTTGCCTGTTTTTGTATTTCCCACTCTGTAAGGGTGGATACACATGACATTATTCTGAGCAGATTTGGACCTAATTAAGCCATCTTGGAAAAAGGGTGTTGAAACTACAGTTATGGTTTCTTTCCCAGTTCTGAAAATGTAATACGTTTGGCTTTGGGGTGGCAACTTTGGAGCTGAGTAAGTCAGAGAGATCACTCCTGGGAGGAAAGTGAAAGTTTGAAGGCAGTGCACACACACAGCAGCAGAGCCCCGTGGAACAGCTAATCCAAATGGCAAAGACGAGGAAGCCCAAAGTGTAATGTGAGAAGACAGCTGAAATGGAGAAACGCAGTGATTTGGAAAGAAACATTATAGTCGCCTCATGAACAGAGTTAAACCATTATAATCAATTGGCAATATATATGTATAGAGTTGACACATCCAAGATAATAATACTGACACATTTTTATCTGCATCCACATGAATCTAGTATTTTTTTAAAAAAGGATAACTTGTCAAATTCATGTAATCGTGCTTACCGCAAAAATGGTTGGGTATTTTTATGCTTTGATTGTCTCTGACATGGAGTTTCAAATTTAAATATACAAAGCAACTGGATGAGCTGTCCAGTTAGTCTTTCTTTGAGTGGGCAAGATATGCAAAATGACATTTAAAAAAAAAAAAATTATATATATATATATGTTTCGAAGCATACAGTAAACAGTAAACATCAACCACAATAATGTACATGTATATAAATATCACTGAGTATAGTATTGTATCCTTTTAAAATCCTGTAAAAGATTGAGAGCTTTGGGTGTTGGTTAAGGGACCTCAATCCGTGTATCATTCGTTCATTCGTTTGTCAATATAAAACCAAAAATAAGAAAACGAAAAAACAACAGTTTTCTTCGTTATTTGTCTCCAAAACCAAAATGAAAAAAACGGATAACGATTCGTTTTTTCAGTTTTCGATTTTGTGTTTAAATGAAGAATGGAAAAAACGGATAACGGCCGTTTCCCGTTTACGTGACTTCCGTGACTGCGATGCCGAACTTTTGCACCGCGTACGGACTGAACTAGGACTGATCCAGGTCCGAGACCAGAGCGGGACTGAGACCGGGACCAGACCGGGACCAGAGACCGGGACTGAGAGACCGGGACCAGAGCGGGACCGAGACCGGGACTGAGTCTCAGTAGCGCTCTGGTCCCGGTCTGGTCCCGGACCTGGTCCATCTGAACCAAAAGCTCTTAGTTCGGTTCGTTTTCGTTGGGGTGAAAGCGTCAGTCGGAGGCTTTGCACCACCTCGGAACCAGCCGCGGTTCTTGAGCGCGGAGGACCAGAGCAGCTCGGTCTGGTCTCGGACCTGGATCCGTCCTGATTCAGTCCGTATGCGTTGAGACTGGGACCAGACCGGGACCAGAGCGGGCCTGAGACCGAGATCGAGACAAGACCAGGACCAGACCGGGACCAGACCGGAGGCTCAGAGCCCACGGCAGGGCCGGAGCTCGAAGCTGAGGCTCGGACCCCGTGGAGGCTCGGAGTCAAAGCTCGGAGTCCGGTCTGGTCCCGCTCTGGTCCCGGTCTGGTCCCGGTCTCAGTCCGCTCTGGTCTCGGTCTGGTTTCGGACCTGGATCAGTCCCGGTTCAGTCCGTATGCGGTGCAAAAGTTCGGCATCGCAGTCACGGAAGTCACGTAAACGGGAAACGGCCGTTATCCGTTTTTTCCATTCTTCATTTAAACACAAAATCGAAAACTGAAAAAACGAATCGTTATCCGTTTTTTCATTTTGGTTTTGGAGACAAATAACGAAGAAAACTGTTGTTTTTTCGTTTTCTTATTTTTGGTTTTATATTGAAAAACGATAACGAATGATACACGGATTGACCTCCATCTAAAATAGATAATTTTTCTAATGGATTTAAGGCAGAGGAGTGGAAGTAGCTTCTATTTTCTTGGAGCCAAGTTAAGCATGGAGTAGGAGGAGCAGAGGAATATAGGTGACCATTCAAAGGACTAAACGGGGCAAGTAAGGTAACAGTGGAGTGAAAATATCTTCATGCTCTCTTGCTCACTGCAATAATGGTCTTGCGTCACTCTATGTGTGCATTGTTGTTTTAGACTACATGATAATACAGCATATAATGGTGAATGATTTTCAATTAAATCTTGATTTTTTTTCATTGTGTGGCTTTTTTATTTCATTTAAAGATGGATCAAAGGGACAATCTAACATTACAGTTCATGGCACACTAAGCTTTGAAACAACAAAAAATGACATTTGTTGGAATGAAACTATTAGGTGTTTGTACATTCTCAGTGGATGCCTGTATCTCAGACTGTCAGATTCACTAGTTTTTTTCATTTCAATTTTATGATGAGTTTTGTATGAAGCGTCTATTAATGTATTTATACTCGTTTTTATGAATGTGTACAGAACTTTGGTCAGTTTGGCATTTTTAAAGGGCTCAGTAAAAATTGGACTGGAATGAATCCAGATATGACATTTTACCAAATAAATGTTTTCTGCATGATGTGTTGCCATGACCATTTCTCTGAACTAAAACTCCAAAATATGTCTGAAAACTTCTGAAAGTCCACAGGCTGTGAAGGAAAGTATTGGTCCAGTATTGTGAGTCTCACCCGTAGCCTCTCTGTGGCAGACACTCAAGGATGTCGTAGCACAGGCTGAGCTGGTCGTCCCTCTCACAGCTGTAGATGCTCTCTAGCGCCACCTGCATCAGCTGGTCGGGGTCTCCTATGATCTTCTGTTGGCACTGGAGAAGCACAGAGGTCAAACAGAAGGTTGAGGTCTCCAGGCGTGACTTACTCAGTCATTTTCTGGAACACGCACACTGTCTGGGACTACAGCTTTCACTTGTCTGCCCTTTGACATGGTATATGTTTTGTAATAGCCAGCAGCTCTGTCCTTGGCTGTGCCCCCATGAGGTCATAAACAAAACATTTACGACGTCGGAGCAAAGCAATCGGCCCTGGCAAAGAGAAAATGGCCTGACATACTACCTTTTCATCGGGCTGTCTATTCATTCAGGTGGTGTCTGGGATACGTACGTCAGGCTTGGAGTGCTGGAAGATGATAAGGGGCAGGGTGAGGTCGTGCTGGGACAAGCTGACCAGATATTCTCTGAGCAGAGACTTGGAAGCGCCCTCCGTCTCACCCTCACAGCGGTGAAGAAATGGGACCATCCACTGGAAACAATCCTTCACATATCGCTCCGGATTCGACTAAAAGAAAAAAATAACAATCTTTTCACCATTAAATCCTAGTTTGGAGCATTTCCTGTATCTTGATCATATTTGAGGACTGAATACATTACTTTTGTGAAAGACAGAGGACTGGACTGTGAATCATATTTAAATCTAATTGAGATTTCACCTATTTTAACTGAAAGGTCACAACAGCCAATCCTCTATCAGTAAAAGCATGTGATTTGTGATAATTTGAGGAAGAAATTGGGTTATTTTTGCGTTAAATGGCAATGATAAAAGTAGTGTTTATGTTCTTGAAATACATTTTGACAGTCATTTTATTTGTACAAGGAATATGACATAAATATTGCCCTATAACGGCCAAACAACTGCAACAGAAGACCAGTTGGAGTATGTATATAAAACCTCTACTATGGAAATATACCTTCATATCTGATGCACTTGTAATAAAAACTTCAGGGACTTGACAAAGTTTACCATCTTTTGTTTCATAGTCCTTTCATAATAATTACAGTAGTCTTCACATTACTTCAAACCATATACTTAAATCTTGCTGAACAATAATAGCAGCACTAGGTGGGCTGTACTGCAATTTAAGTATGACAAGTTCACCCAGGGCCATTGCACCATTGAGTCATAGTTCTCGTTTAAGTAAACATCCAGTTTTAAGAGTCTTAATGCAAACTTTTCCACCCACACAGACAGCAGCATTTTATCTTGCCGTAATATGTTGGTGATTATGAAAGAGATTGTAGGCAGGCGAAGAGTTAGGTAAACACACTCAAATACGCAGACATACACAGACAGGGCCCAAAGGCAGCTGCAGTCAAACAGCATGTGTTAGTGCAGTCAACAGTATTTGCTGGCCGCCTGCCTGTATGTAGTGTACTGGCTGTGGTCCTCTCAGGCTTAAGCTGGCAGTTATTAGCCACAATTTACAGGGCAGCTCATATTGTGTACTCCGCAGGGACAAGTAACTACAGCACCTGCTGCACACCACCTTTCACTGCTGTCTGAAGGTTTAGGCTAAAAAGAAAATCGATATCAAGGGCCAAGGTGTTCAAAGTTTAAAATGAACCCCCAACACAAATGGGGGCCTAACATGTCTACACTGTGATTTCATGAATTATTTATATGTATATTACAAGAAGTTTTTTTTTTTTTTTTTTTTATTGCTAGGTAGTGCAGAGCATCATCAAAATCACTGTGCCCTGCTACACTGATTTCGGTGAATGAAGGTGCAAGTGAGGTCTGCAAAAAGAATCTGCAAGAAATCTTTTTTTTTCCTGGACACCACAGCAATCTGGTGTGGTTTTCAGGTCACTGGACATGTGTTATCATGTGGACCTATGTGAAACCACACTGCTTTAGTCATAGTTGGTGTAACAAGCACTCTGCAAGTAACCCCCTTAAAGTAAGTACCAAACCCACCCTGCAGTCAGTATAAATCCAGCGTAAAATGGAAGTAAACACTAAATCAGCTTTTTTGCTACTAAACCCTGTATATGGTGTTTTATTAGTATTGTCTACCATTCCTAAACCTTTTGGCAACTTTAGTGCAAACTATAACAGAAACAAAAAAGTGTGTGTGCTGCCTCCCGTGTCCATTGCTATTTCAAATGCTACGTGACATCTCACAGAACTGACCTGATCACAGCCATGTGGCTGCAGAGGCGGAGTTTAGAGTATTGTTACACCAGTCACACTGTTTCTTATACCCTCAGACCCCACCACTCATCTCTCCTCACTTTTTTTTATATGAGATGAGGGTCTGTCAAGTATCTCGTTTGACACGCAAGGTAAGATAATCAGAAACGTGTAGAGGCCAAAAAACTGATGTTATACACCTGTCTAACCATGTGTGACATCTCTGATAAGGGAGTGCATGTCACCATCTGTACAGGTTCTAATCATACAGTATTTGAATAACGCCTCAGAAAGTCTCGTGTGATAATTACTGTTCAGTCTGGCTGATGCGCAAGGCTGAAGACTCAACTAATGTAATCACACACTCACGTTCTTCATGAGCAGACGGAGCTTGTCGATGTCACTGAGCTGCTGCAGGTCTTTAAGTGTCAAACTTAATTCACACGATGTCTCATACACCAGCGTCTCCATGGTGACCAGGTCATCACACAGGCTCTCCAGCCCAGGGATCTCACGCTCTTTTCCCAGCCGCACCAGAGACAAAGCGCAGTCCACCTGACAGAACAGAAGTACATGAAATATAGTGCAAGGTAAATGTCAGATTTTCAGAATTCAAATATTGTGCAAGTGTTGTGTAAATATTGAGGAAATACCAATTTGAATGTATTATATTAGGACTGGGCAATATAGATACACATATTGATCAGTCCTGATTTTCAATACAATTTTATTTTCTCTTTTCAAAAACAAGATAAAAACAGCTTCTTGTATTGATTTCAAACAAAACAGACTTCAAATTTCTAGATTCTACATGACTGAATCATGACTCAATTAAAATGTGATCAATTGCCCTGCCCTAATCAATATCTTACATTTTTTCTTGTTAGGGACATAGGGATGGAGGACAACTTGTGTTATTTAAGGAATAGTCTATAACCTGCACAGCCATACCAAGGACACCTTCAGTTCTGTCCTTGCAGACATCTCTGTGGACAATGTGCTGAGTTTACACTGTCTCATGGTCCTACACTAATGGCCAATGCACCTTTCTGACATTCAGGACATCCAGCATCTTCTTTATGGTTCTAGCACAACATACATTTCCATAACAACTACTTTTGAACAGACACAGAATACATATTGAATAGTGGCAGTTGCAAACTGACATTGCATCTTTACGTAGCAGCAATGTTACTAAAGGGGAGGGAGAAGTTGTTATTATTATTATTACTGATTATTACTATTTACTATGGAATAAGACTTTCAAAATATAATGGCGCTTAAATCTACACCATTTGGTTATAACCACTACACCTTATTTATTCTTAATAAAGCATGAAAAAGACAAAGACTCAATTCAAAAAGAGCAGTTTATTAATAACCTCGAGTATTAGTTTAAGAATGATTCTTAATATTAAGGGGTTAGTAGTAGGGTTAGGGTATTAATTAAGCAGTTATTGAGCCTGAATCATTCTTAATAAACTATTTGATCATAATTCATTAAATTTTTCTTCATGCTTTATTAAGGCTAATTAGGTGTAGTGATTGTAACTTGAGATAATTAAAGTCATTGAAAAGCTAATACCATTTGTCAGTCATTACTAATATCTAATCATTAGTCTTTGTGACATAAAACATGGGAGATTTGGACTGCTTCAAACTCTGATCAATAGATTTCCATCCAGAAGAGCAAGTGATCAATATCTGACCACCTATACGCTGGCAACACGCCTGGCCAATCGATGCCCCGCCACCTGTGGATGCCAGCCGATCAATAAAGAAGCTACAGCTCCCTATAGTGATGATTGCTTTCTCCTCACCTTTTAGACAAGGGGAAGGCCCAGTGGCAGGGTTGTTAGCGTAGCGTGTGCCATTGACACACACGTACATTCACTAGGGCTGCAACCTTGTCATGCTTTGCTTACTTAAAACGTTTGTGATTGAATAAATTATAGTGCACTCCACAAACAAAGAAGAGAAAAACCTAGAGATTTACCTTGAGTCAGAGGCTGTGCAATTAGATACAAGAGAGCAGAGTATATTGATCTGCCTGTAAGTAAGGGCTCCCGCTAATGCACCTAAACCAGAGGTATTCAGCTCCTGCGCTAAACTTTTAAAAAGGAGTAAAGGCAAGGAAATGTCAAAATAAGATACAAAAATGAAAAGGGGGAAAATTACAAAGCACCAGAACCTGTGATGTGATGTTTTTAGAGCAACAGCACAACATGTGTGAATGGGACGCTCCAATTAGGCTTGTGTTGTAACAAGTTCATGATGAAAAGAGGCTTTAATTAAAATGCTATCAGCGTAGTTCTGGGAAATTCAATTTTTTTTTTTGCTATGCTCTATAGCCAATTGTCTCCAAAAATGAGCAGTGGACCCTAAAACGTTTCAGCTTCACTCACTTGAAATGAAGAAATGAATCGGAAAAGCTTTGAGTTCACTTCAGTTAGCCTCTTTCCGCTAAGACAAAACGAAAGCGGTGACAACCTTGATCCATCACTGTGAAAAGCCACTATAAAACGCTCGGATGAAGTGGGCGGAGAGAGTGGGCAGCCTGTGTTACATCCCATTACTTCGCTAAACAAGTGCAATCAACTCCTATTTTTCAGTTACAGTGACAGAAGTGGTGGTTACTCTTCATTACAAGTCCATATGGTAAGTGTGATAATCAGAGCTGTGGATAGGATCAAAGTGACCTTGACTGATGGGGACTGGCAACATCTCCACTGCGCCACCAATCCAGTTTGTCACTTGTTTACGCTCCACTCATCCAAAAAGAAGCACAAAGGCAATTATTTTCTGTCCGGACAGACTGCAAGCTAATTCTTTCCAGCATCTGTCTCCTCGTAAAAAATGGGAAAACGTAATTGAGACATTAATTCTGGTTGTCATGTTTTTTATGGTTTACCTTGGTCAAACAAAGTGATGAAAGTGAAATAGTATATGAGAGAAGTTACATAAGCTTTTCTGACAAGATGTGTTGCGAATAGAGCTGATACTAAGCAGTTTACAATTACTTTTTAAAATATGTTAATACAGTTTCTTACAGTTTTTTTTTTTTTTTTTGTAAGTACAGCATGTTAGTATACGCACATAGAAAGTTAATCAAATTTCACTTTATAGTCAACACCAGGACTAAATAACTGATAAAGTACAGACTAAAAGAGAAAATTATTGGAGACATATTTACTTCTAACATTTTAATTAAATACTTCATTAAAACTTGAGCCGGGTTGTCTTTCCACAAATCTGACCTGTAACTTGGCCTCGTTTACTCACCATGAAGACAGAAATGTTAAATAAATACCATACTGTGAAACATTCCAGATAAAGCAATAACATTTCCAAGGAGAAAAGCATTTGACGGTCCCTCCACCAGAAAAGTTACACAATGCACCATTAAGGTACAGGATACATGGTTTTATATACCGGTACACAGATTTTGAAAAGCTTAAACAGATATAAATATTATATTTGACAGGAAGGCAAAGAAAAGAAAAAAAATAGATTAATTTCTTGTGTATTGTTCAACCACAGTTTGTTTACCTGTCTGGAGTTGAATTCAATGTCTTTGGCACGGGTCTGGTACCAGTCGGTCAGAAGCTGAATGGACGGTGCAGCAGATCGAACCTCAGCAGCTCAGGGGACTCCTCGTACAAGAAGTCGTCATCGTCAAACAAGTGCTGATCTAAAACAGCTCTTTGGGGCCAAACATAAAGTCAGAATGTACGGTTAAGGTATAGTTTACTGCCCCCATAGGAAAATGTGTTCACTGCTTTTAACACATCCTTCAATAAAGCTAGGACAACATGCCAGGTGCAGTGGCCAAGGTAATATGTTATGTTAAAAAGCCAAGGAAGTTACACATAAGAAAAAGGGTTAAAAGATAATACATAGATTGGTTACTGATCATACAGAAAATCACATTTACATCAAGTGCTGTTTTCATTTGTTCTGACATCTGAAACTCAACTTCTTTGTACAGAATAAATTGGCTTTTAGAATAACTACAAACTAAATCGCTGAAAAGATACAATATATATCCAGTTTACACACTTCTGGCAGTGGCATCGTTCCAGTAGCAACAAACTGGGAAAAATAACCTGTCTCACTAAAGCTACTTCTGGTAATATAATAAATGTGCAAAATAAAACTGTAAATGAAGTTGAATTTCCAAGAGACTACGAGCAAATGGCAACAGTTGGCACCCAAGCAAGATTTCATTGTTGCAATGCTTCTGTGAGCCAGGTTTTGTTCCCAACATTGTCTGCAGCATAAAACTGCAGAGCTCTGGCCAACACTCCACAACATGTGTCGACTAGTTAATTGTGAAATAAAGTCCAGATTGTATTTGTTGTATTTTTCTATCTTTTGGAGAGTTTATCAAAATCTCTTCTAAAAACATGTTAGCTAAACTGTTACTACCTGCACTCCTCGGCTTCACACCAGTCCATTTCTCTGTGTCTCTGTTCCTCCCAGGGAATCATCACCAAGTCGCCATTGTCGTCCATTCTGAAGAAAAAAAACGCATTTAGTAAGTTGAAATTACTTTTTTCTGTTTTATGGAGCTGAATGTATGGTTTAAAGGTGCACTGCGTAACATCTCTAGTAGAGGGACCGCTACCTGTCTCCATGGTAATGTTATTGCTTCGGCTAGAATGTTCCACAGTATAAATTCAATCTAGACAAGCACTACTACTTTATAATTCAGATCTGTGGAGAGTCACCCCGTTCACAGAAGGAATTATTGTGTTTGAGCAAAAGAAACACATGTAATGAATAAATGCTAGATTGTTTAAAGTAAGTAAGTACATTTTTATTTATATAGTGCTTTTCACAGACAAATGTCACATAGATACTTTACAGAGCATTATTCATTCACTCCATATCTAGTGGTGGTGAGCCTACTATTGTAGCCACAGCTGCCCTGGGGCAGACGGATGAAAACAAGGCTGTCAATCTGCGCCATTGGCCCCTCCAACCACCACCATGCACACCACTTTCATACAAGGTAATGTGGTTGAAGTGCCTTGCCTAAGGACACAACGTTTTTGCGACAGGCACCCTACTGTGGAACTTGATTTTCCCAGTGGTCTCCCATCCCATTACTAACCAGGCCTGGCCCTGCTTAGCTTCTGACAAGCTTCTGACAAGCCGGTATGGCCACATACCAGTCACACCAAGGAATATTCGAGGTAAAGCAATAGCATCTCCATGGAGATAAATAGGTACCAGAGCCTCCAGAAAAGTTGCACAGTGCACCTTTAAGGGCTCAGCTAAAAGTCAGTGGGCATATGTGCTAAGACAAATGTTAAACAAGCATTTCCATATTAAGTCTCATTCTAAAACATACACTTTTAATTTCCTCATTATTATTCTAAAATATTAGTAATTATGCAGATGCTTAGATAGGTCAATTTGGTATTTAAATGTAAAATTTTTGGTGTTTTGCCTTAATGTTTCACAGATCTTATATTTTCACAATATCTTGAGTTCTTGGCAGCGAATTTCCAGCTTGATTTCTACTGCAAAAGGCAAACAAACTCAACCCAAGACCATATAAAACACTAAAGATATTTTTTACTAGCTTCATAACACCTTCCCACTCTCCTACAGTACAACAGCATCTTATAAATCAGTGCAACGCCATAAACCACGTCCCAACTCGGAGCTGAGCGAGCAACATATGTGAAATGGAACTAGCAGATTGTAATAAGAAAAAAGGTGTAAAAGAAAAGCACAATAATAAATAAGTCAAAGAGCCTTGTGAGAGTGTGTTAATAGAAAAAAGATGATTGTTTTACAAGTTGGTACTAGCTCGGCATCATCCAGACCTCCTTGACTTTGACAGGTATAGAAGTTGATAAATGGGAAATATAGAAGAAAAATAAGAGTAACCTTGAGTGTCAGGACTGTCGAGACTTCTCAAAATCCACCGCACAAATGGACAGCACCAAAATAAAATGTCTGATCTTTAATTTTAAAGATGAATGCATGTTCCCTTTTTATCTATTTATTTGGAGACAGCAAAATATGAACTAGGGTTGTAAAAACTCAAGGAGATACCGCGGGTAACAAATCACCTATATATTTTATTGTAGTTGGAGGCCAAGTGCGCACTCCAAGATAGCAGACTGGGGTTATTTTTACGCCACTATAAATTGTATCCAATCACAATATACATAACTGTCCAAGTTGTTCATGTGATTTATGTTGTTGTGTAAAACCAAAAAGGATTTTTAGCAACTCACCAAAGCAAGTCCATCCATTAAAAGTGGGATTTCAATGGGGCAATGACAAGGACTAAGAAGAGCCATTGGTTTATTTAGGATATGACAAATATGAAAGTCTTTAACATCAATATCACAAGTTTTGCCTCATTGCGGTGGTCATATTTCACTGTAAGTTGGTATAATGCAAAATGTGTCCAGAAAATAATGGGAAGAAAGTTAATTTGGCAATGAACTACTTTTAGATGACAAATGTTGAAAAATTATCTTGGCTCTTAATGCTACCAAACTTAAAAGAATGTTATATAGCCTACAGCACAAATGTTGAAATAATAAAAATGGGCATTTCTCTATAGAAGTAAATAGTTAACACCATGGAAATGTTATTGTATGGTCTGCTATGTCAGGTATGGCATTAAACATATCCATCTTGCATTTATTCAATAATATGGGTTGCTATTGATCTCAAAACTTGTATTTTTAATATGGGTGGGTTCACCTCTCCATAGATATGACATGTAACTTGGTCTGTGGTGTGTTATATTGTCTCCATAAATAAACATAATGCCATACTGTGGAACATTCTAGGCACGATCTGTATGAACAGAAGCAGATGATCCTCCACCAGAAAAGTTACACAATGCGCCTTTAAGATTTTTCCACTAAATTCCAATTACAATTCATCACCTGTGCATTTTTAGAAATTTGATTTTTTTGACTGAGGTTAAGTTTGCCATTTCTAGAAACACATAGCCATTTTATTGATATATTTTTCACAAACTGAATAAATATAGTGTGTGACATAGTTATCTTCTCTCATCTACTCCATTGAGCAAAGTAGCACTTATTTGTCACATTAGTTTTACTTCCTCTGGTCTAATCCTTTTAAACTTTCAATAACCGCCTCATACCATGCATCTGTAAGCTGCCTGGGAGAAAGTATTGATCAATATTACAAGGAAAAGTTTTCTGGGTGCATTCAGGCGAGATCACGGCGTATTTTCCAACAGATGGCGTTGGAGGGAGCGTGTGGCAGCCATGGTCGGAGTAGCGGGGGAAATAGGAAAGTGCCCCACAGCAGAAGCAGCTCAGTGATGGATGCTCACTGCAGCGCCGCAGTCGCCTGACCTCCATACAAACTCAAGACACGGCTAATAAAAGGCAGTGCTGATGGAGAGCGAGAGGGGATAGGTGGGCCCCATCATAATTATTTCTATACTCTATTTATGTTCCTGACTTCAGGGGTCTAGTACTGTATGTCCCAGTGATTTTTGTATATGTGACAGCAGATTTGAATACATGAAAGGAAAAAAGAAGAGCAAAGAAAGATCAAATGGAGCAGAAAAGGAGGTAAGTGAGCTCCTCAGTAAATCCAGTCAGCAAGGTTTGAAGCAACCACTTTATATACACGTTTATCATCTACTATAAAAAATACCTTAGTCAACTTATGTTATTTTAAAGAACCCATATTACGCTATATTATAATTATGTTTCCTCATCACAAACATATCTGCAGTTGTATTTTGTTTCATTCACACATGCTTAACATATGTTGTGAAGTAATACAGGAAGCCATTTGGATGATTTCAGTCTTGGAATTGCCATTACTGAACTAAAAGGTAAAAGGTATCTGTTAACTTGAAAACTACTGCTTCATGACATTTGCATGAGCATTTTGAGCTCTGGAGATGTAGACAGAGTAATAACATGGCTTAAGCTTGCAAGAGAGCTTCAGAGCGCTATCACTTCACAATTGTCATGCATCCCGTGAATTAAACTACTGCACATTACATCAGGTTTGTGACAGTGCAATGGAGAGTTTTGTATCCTGCTTATGGATTTATGGATGAATATCCCCTCTTAAAAAACTAAACTAATTGTGACTAATTGAAATATTATTCCATGTCATTAGATTTCTAAATGTAAACAAATCAGTAATGTTTATAATATAAGTAATGCTTTAATAAGATTTATGAACATATCTGATAGAGACTTTTAAATAAGCATAAAGATGAATGCTTCCCTACTGCCAATTTAATACTCAAAAAAGTATACAAAATGTTTCTAAATTACCAAATCTGTTCATAGAATTCTAAAGAATTCTTCTTTGATCAATAATTACACAGCCCTTACTAACCCTTCGCTGCCTTTACACTTGTTGAAACTTAAAGTCATTACAGCGCTGTACGTGTGTCACACTGCACTTTGCCCTTTTCCAGGTTTTCCCAAAAGCTCTGACATTTGGAGCCCACAGTGCACCCAGAGTTGGTCCTCACTTTCTCAATCATTTTCTGGGCACATGAAAGTTGTCTCAAGGTAGTTTTTGCAAAGGCAGGAAGAAAGAAACAGCAAATAGTTTTTCACTCTTCTGTTTTTATACAGATGATTAAATACGGTTTCAATTAATCCATACAATTGTTTTTGATTGAATAAATAATTTTCCCTTTAACCAATGAAGTTTATAAATGTCAAAAGCATATTTCAGCAAGTACAGTTACTAGTTGGTGGGTTTGATCAGCTTGGTAAAAACAGTTCTGCTAATCTGTCTGCCTCTGTGCTTTTAGTATTTTTTGTTTTTTTATCAAATATCTTCTGTCAAATTTGAGAATGGAAAATAATGACTGAGTGAGCAACACAAACAGAAAACTACTGAACTTATACAGTACACCAAGAGGTACCAGTATTTACACCAATAAAACAGAACTTCCCTCCAGCAACTTACACATACATCAAAATAATATGGGCGTCACATATTTCAGTGTGGTCAGACTAGAGGGGGTGAAAATTACAACATTAAGAGCACATGAGACTCACGTGGCTTCAGGCAGCAGGATGGTGTATTCATGTGGAGAAGTTGTTTCAGGAAAGTTACAGAGGACAGCGAGGCGATGTTGGAGAAGCTCTGCTCCATGAAACGTGAAGAGAATATCCAGGGCCTGCACATTACTCTCCTGTGGGAACAGGAATCAATGCTTTGAGGTGCTATCAAATCTTATCAACTTTCACTTAACAGATTTTGAAAGTTTAAAGGGCCCATTATGTTATTTTCTGATCAATGTTATAATCCTCATCAAAAACATACCTGGAGTTTTGTTTTGTTTCATTTACAAATGCGTAACACAAACTCTAGATATTTAGACTAAATTCTTCTCTCAATCAGAAAACACTCTTCCACCTTGTGAGTGCTCCAATGTGTTTTTAAACTCCATACACCTTCACTAGAATTATTTCAGCCCTCGAATTGAAAATATCGATTGAACTAAAGGTAAAAGGTAGCTGTTGAAAGTTACTGATTCATGACATCACAAAGTGAAACACAGCATTTTGAACTTTGGAGATAAAGCTCAAAATGCTCAAAATATGTGAAGGAAACAAAACACAGTTTCAGGTATGTTTTTCATGAAGAAACAACACATTAACATGGCTTAAAGTGTTGATTTTGTGTAATATAGGACCTTTAAATTGCACATAATGATGCAAGATTGTGTTTGACATAAAGAGCCACTTTATAGGATACCTCCAGGGTTTTTTCACTAAAATGTAAGACATTTAAAATATCTTCTCAAAGTCAGTAATAATTTATTTTCATTCAATTTGCATAAAAGGTCTCTATTTTGGCAAACCTCTTGTTGCAGCAGGATTTTAACCTTAGCTCTGAACTAAAAATTAATCAATTTGTTCTTGCTCCATCCTTGACCTCTCTTGAATATTTCATTACAAAATACAAAAGCATATTTTGGTATTTCTTAAGGCTGGTTAGTTATAACTGTATCATCTTATTAACATATTTGGTGCAACAAATATTAAATGTAAGCTATCAACAGTAGTTAAAAGGATTCACTGAAATTCAAAACAGTCAACTATAAAACATAGAAAGCTGTAATGCTGGGGCTTCCTTGCATTACAAAGTCTACAGCTCAAACATGTTGGTCAAGGTAAAGACAGTTTACCCGAGCATAGTCCCTCGCTGACATCACAATATTTTGACTTCTGAACTTCTTGAAGAACTCTGCATCGTATTTCTGCTCGGCTGCATGGGGCCCACCAAGAATCTCCTAAAACGGAACAAGAAAGTGTTGAGTTCATGAAGGGAAATTTGTTAAAGGAGCAAAGTAATCCTTTCTAAGAAAATACCGTGACTGTTCAGAAAGTCAAACTAAAAGATGAGTGGAAAGAGGTGAGGTTAGCTGTGACTGCAAATGTATAAAGAGAAGGCAAGTCAACAGAGGTGCTATTTAACTATCGAGGGTGCAGTGTGTGCTAAAGTCTGAATGATGTCTTGGTCTTCCGCCTTAGAGGGATTTATCTGTGAGAAAAAAAAAAAGAAAAAAAAACTTTAACATTTTCTTTTTTTCCCCCAAGTGTGTGCCTGGGCATCTTTATGTGTTTGGGTAGACTGAGTGCTGGGCTATGTGTCTCCCTGATAGATGAGGCTTTGAATGGGCCATATGCAGACATGGTTAGACCCTAAGTCGGGATGATAAAAACCTTAATATCATATTCATAGACAGCTGGAGAAAATGGATTGGGGCGAGAGGAGACTTGACGAGAGCCGCAGTTACCATGACAATGTCCGAATAAAGAAAGGGAACGTCATTCTGCGCGCGTGTGAATATCTAGCAGCTTTTCAAAATCTCATCTTTCCAGTCGGGCGAAGGGGAGACGTAAGGTCCTCTGCTGTCAGTGATTTATTATGGATGGCTGTTGTTAACATGGAGGGAATCTGAAATGTGGTGGTAAAAGTTGCACTTGGAGCGTGAATCAATCAGTTCTGCAGTGGCCCTGATGCAATAGGGCCCATTAACAAAAACACTCATCTATCTCTCGAGTGGCTCATGACCAAACCATTACTTTCTTCATTTATATAGCACTTTCTCCTTAATAAATCCTACCATTGTTTAATATTTCAGAGCAGATCAGTGGTGTTAAAAGAGTGTTGCTAGGAAAAAAAGAAGAAATTGTCTTTGGGAGCTTTGAGACAATTAAATATTAAAGGCGAGTGAATTACGTGGCAAATGAAATAAACAACAATAACTTAATGGCATTTAAATTACATTCTCTGTTATAATGCTCACACTGAAGGAGCTTTGATAAAGATGTATTAATACTTTTTTTTTCATAGACTGGAAAAAAAGCACTTCTGTTAATGCCAGTGTAATACATTCTTTCTTAAAGTACAAGCAAACCCCATAGTTTTGATTTCTGTTAGCTAATATGTTTTATTTATTTAGTATTTAAATTCAAAAAATGTAAATGTTGAAAAGATTGATCTGAAATGTTAATCAAATGGTGTCATAATGTTATACCTGGTCTATTCAGATTATTTCACTATAAATAAGACTTTTGAAACACTACACTTAAAGGTGCATGGTGTAACTTTTCTGGTGGAGAGTATGTCACATGCTTGTTTCAGTTGATATGTCTCTGCTTGGAATGTTCCATAGTATGGCCTTAAATAGCTCTACCTTATATTTATTTAATTACAAGGGGTTTTAAAGCTCAAAATATCTAGAAAAACAGGCATTCTCACAGGTGAGTAGGGTTGCCTCTCCACAGATCTGACCTGTATCTTGGTCTGGTTTAACCTCCATGATAGAAAGGTTTAAAATCATACTGTGAAACATTCCAGACAAATCAATACCATACCATGGAGAAAAGCATTTAACAGACCCTCCACCAGAAAAGTTATACAATGCACCTTTAAGTGCAAGGTTTTAGATTTCACATATCTTATTCTTCATATCTTTTTAATTACTTTTTTATTTTGCTTTGTCTGAGGGTAGTTACCTCGTATGTGGCGAGTCGATCTAGGTAGCAGAGTAATTTCAAACGGCTACGGCACAGCTCCTTCTGCTCCAAGGTCAACCTAGCACAAAGAAAAGAACCATGTGACTTACTCTGAAAGCAAAATTGGACTTTTGTCAATACACAGCACGATTACATAGCACAGCTCTAAATTAACTGCAAACTGACTTCCTCCAGATGCCCATGGGGACCGACCATATATAACAATAGCTGGGCCAGGGGACAACAATGCACACGGCAGCCTCCTAATCATTTTCTATGGACCACAAATCAAGACCTTATGACCACACGGGCCCTTCAGGTGTTATGTATGGGACGCAGGCTGTCAATGAGCTGAGCAACCGCCCTCCGGAATTCAAACCATTTTCAAAGTCATTTCATCATGGTTGTAAATAAAGTGCAATACACAGCTACGGCCAACAGTTCAATTTATCATGGTTTTTAATATGGTCCCTGTACAATTTAGTCATCTATTTATTTCTAATAAAGTTACATGACATATAAACTTATATGATTTTTTTATTTAATACTAGAGTTAAATAATATGTTTTATTACAGTAATATTTCAAATTCAGGTCACATAACAGCAAGCATAAACAATAGATATTCAAGGTTTTCAGTCACTTTTTCTGGTTATGTGCACCATTTTGAGGACTTTTGGCCATTTAAAAGATAGAATATTAATGCTATGACAAGAGTCCCCATTTTTATCACTTTTAAAATCATGGAAAGTAGCTTCAGTAGTAGTAAAAATAAGATTATGATAACATAAGATATTGAAAGTTTTAAATTTTTATTTCTGCTTCAATGGGTAATGTTTTGACAATTTAATTTTGGTAAAGAAACCATTCAAAACATTTCAGTACCAAAATGTGAGCTGGAGATGGAGTAACAAGTACTCCTCCAAACAGGTCCAGGATCAACCGCAGTGTGGCACCTGGGGAGATGACCCTTGACTCCTGTCTTAATCCCTAATCCCTCATTACAGAGCGCACTATCAGCAGGCTTTATCAGGACTTCACTACACAGACTAACCACAGATTAACACTGGCTCAACATACTCACAGGCACATCAAAGAGCACTGGCTTTGCAGTGGCACTGGTGGTAATTATTGCTTTGCTGTGCCTCTTCAGAGTCAAGGAAGAGCAGTGGGTTTGGAGTAGAGAGAGGGAATGAGGGCAGGGGGGAGAGGAGGAGATAAGAAGAGATGCTACGTGAGCGCTTTCTTGCCTTACCCTGTCCACTTGGGGCTTGTGTGACGGCTTAATTGTCAAGTTTTAATGTAAATAAAACGGTTGGCAAAAATGTCAAAAAGAAAGAACTTAAGCTGGTCTTATGGCATTTTAAGTGTTGAAATCTATTGTTCAGTTTTGATGATTAGAAATTATGTAACATTTCTTCAGACATTTTTCTTCAGGTGTCTCACTCAACCTGAACCTACCTTGTTAAAATATGTATAGTCTTCTCATATTGTACATATTTTTAAGCGTTTGCCATTTTCACTACTAATGTAGCTGTACAATTGCATACAATAAATATTATTCAGTCCTCTGCTTTAATTAATATGTAATACAAAACTGCATAAATCTGGCTCGCAAAATCACCTTCAGAGCTTCAGTTGAGTGGTTATGTACATTTTATTGGATGCATTTTTGCACCTTTTATCTTAGGCCATCTGCAGTTAATTTAGTTAGCACAGATTGTCTAGGCCATATGATCAAAGGAGTCACAAGAGAGCAACAGGTTACTAGCATTAATACACTATACAAGATAATTTGAAACTTACTGATGTGTAAAGGTTCATTCTACAACTTTCAAAAATATACTTTTGTGTACCTTTGATAACAAGAAGCCAATGACTACTTCACCTGAAATCATCATTCAATTGAAAACATCAATCTAAATGGTAATTTATAGGTTGACAGCCACTTGATAAAACAACAACCTTCAGGTGACACAATGTATGGTGGCGCAATATTCTATTCCAGCCCATGTCCTCTATACTATTAAGCGGCAAATCTTGTAGCTGAATTCCTCTGAGGTGCAGCATAAACAGTGTGCAGTCTTTCACATACAAATGACCCTTTGGACAAACACAGCGGAGGGCAGAGGAGGTCCAGGCTTATATAAAGGTTTACACAATGGATACTGACCTATGGGGAAATTTGGTGAAGGAAATCGTGAAGGTGTAGACAAAAGAAGAAAGTGTTTCACATAATGCACTGCTGCTACTACTGCTGTTGTTTTGTATGCCTGTCAAATACATGGCTGATTTGAAAATAATGAATTTAGACTGAAGAGAGTATAGTGAAATTGGTGTTAATTAGTGTGTAAAAAATATAGCAAAATTGAACCACTTAAACAAAATTATACCTCATAAATATTAGAGACTACCCCAAAAGGGAGAATGTTGAAAGAAGGGTCATTGCTTGATATTTATTTTAATGCCACAATTGCAATAAAAGAAAAAATAGATAGTAGAATGTTATTTTTAACATAAATATTACCAAACTAAGTAGTTGGTAATGTTATCATGTGATTTTATAGTAGTTCTCATATCAATTAAGACCATTCAAAACTATTCAGGAAAGGACAAAATGTTGTCTGTTATTTTTTCTTGAGTATCAGTACTGGTTCAGATACTAGTTTTAGTATTGATTGGTCTCTTTTTATAGGACTACTTACTAATACTACCATAAAACATAGATTTGAGTACTTTGTCCACCTCTGTATATGGAATTGAGAAGTATAGTTTTATTCTTGTTTTGTTATTCAGAGTTTATGCACTGCAATGTTACGAGTCTTGTACGTGTGAAAACCAGCCACACTTATAATGGCCCTTGGCTCTTTTGGAATGACACTTTGTTATGCACACACAGATATACAACAGCTTTAAAATAAAACTGTCTGGATGCGGCCAAAAGTGTGAAAGCTCAAGACAAACAGCCCTGAACTCCACTCTGACAGTTAAAACACCAATAACTACTGCTCAGAGATAGCATTTAGTGTAGTGTAAGTGTTTTATGTGAGGCTACACACTGCCTATAAGGAAACATTGGCTACTGACATAAAAATTAGTTCAGTGTATTAACTTTTTTTTTTACCCTGAAATCAAAAGAATGAATTCAGACTCATTATTCAAGTCAGAATCAAAAGGTTCACTCAAGAAACCCAAATTCCGTGACTTATCAATTTTTGTATTGTGCTTACAACAGGTAATATTGGTCATTTATTTTCTGTGTTACTGGACTGTGGATATTTTGTTAACTATGACAAATCCCATCATTCTACTACAGTTATTACTACAACTAGTATATAAAGTACTCTATTTTATCTACTTGATATTATGTGTTAGATTAAGTAAATGAATATATTTTGAGCCATGTCAGTGGTTTCACAGTGACTTGTTTGAAGGACAGTGGCCACTGCATCAGTATTGAGAGATAACAGCAGATATGACAGAAGTAAGTCTCACCCTTGGAGCATGTAAAAGGACAAAAGTGGTGATGATGACGGCAGCTGGTAGTTAACTCCAGCTCTTATCTACACACAGTGACGGAGGAGCAGGAGTGATCGATGCCAAAGCGCTTCTGTAATGGTGGCGCAGTTAAAAAGAAATTAAGAGAATTATTATCTGTCGCGAGGCTCGTCCGCGCAGCCTCAAGGCGACACGGTTAGATCCATCAGAGGGGGCTGGTGCACCCACGCATTTGCAGCACACGTTCTAAGGCACGTGTACTGTACAAATGGCCATCTATAGGACAGAGACAAATGGGAATATTAAAAGAAGATGATTCTAATGATTTAAAGTAATGGTTTCCTTCAGGTTGGTAAAATATGGCTTCTTTCAGGTCTTTTTAATTATCCTTGATCCGTGCTTTATCTGCAAAAGGCACCCGGTGTGCAATAGAGCTAAACAAGCTCCTTTAGAACCAAAAGTTAAATTAAGGAATAAAAAGACTGATGAGTTACTGTCAATAAGACACTATATTTAAAAGTTCATGGTCTGGAAGGCCCTGAAGGCCGATTAAAGTAAAAAGTATTCTTCTAGTGTCTACTGTTAATTTGCATCCCCTACAGTCGAGATTCCCAATTCAATCCCAGGGTCATTGAAATGCATTCAAAGTACCTAAAATTGTCCATGCACATGTGCCTGAGTAGGAGTGCGTGTATGAGAGGTGATTAGTGATCACTAAAGGCTTTTTCATTAGTCTCTCCCTGGGCACTCCACAACAAAGGCATAAATTACCTTCAGCAGATTACCCACTAATCTGCAGCACTGTGCTCCCCTGTTCTCTCTCCCATGTGCTCATTAATGTCTCTGCCTTTATGATCCCCTCCAAGGGGCCGCGACCTAATCAAACAATCAGTGTGAAACCTACCAGCTCTTGGCCTCCATTTCAGTCCTATCTATAAGTTAAATAATGCCATTGCAATTTTTGCAACAGTAGCAGCCTGGTTCATCATTACAGTTCTCAGTGGGGAAATGAGCACTATATTTAGGCTCTCCAAAGAGTAAGTAACAGTCTGCAGAGAAGCCAAATCAAATGGGTAAGCAACAGGGAAACCTCAGTGAGATTTTTCCGCCTACTTAACAACTGCTCCACAAGTCGGAAGGAAGAGCTGCAGATGCCTTAAATATATTAATGTTTTATGCATGCAGCTCATTTTTAAAGTAAGGAGAAGAAACTCAGGTAAAGAAACTGACAATTTAACCAGGGTCATGGAGCTGAAGGATGGTCTTTGTAGGCACTTTTACTCAGATACAATCTTTCTTTTGTTCAGGTTTAGCAGTCATTTTACCTGTTCTGACCCTTCTGTTCACACTATAGGCAGACAGAGAGTGTGCTGTGTTACCTGCTGAAATCCACTCTGTCCAGCAGCTCTTGTCTCTTCTTGTTTTCTCGTTCTCTTTTGATATGCAGCTCCTCATCCTCAGACAATAAATCATCATAGGGAAGGTCATCGAGGTCAACATCACCTGGCATGATAAACCTACCACACCGAACACAAAGATTAAATTAAAAAAACACAATACAAAAACACATGTCACATGTAAAATTAAGATTACAACATTTTTTTGCACTATGATACATTTTTAGTGGAGGGTCCAAGAACATGCCTCGCTCCATGGAGACAACATTACTTTGAATGTTTCACAGTATGGTATTAAACCTTTCTCCATTACGCTTTTGTACAATTCCAGTTCACATGTATTCAAGTATACAGCTTGGATAGGGTCTGAAAAATTCATAAAAAAATCAAACCTAAACTTGCAGCACGGTTTTAATGTGTTTCTTCAGTGTCGCCAATATAAATTTGCTAAAGTTGTAATTTAGAACTCTACAAGTATTTTGTTCTGAATGTTTGGAAAAGCATGTGATTTCAGGTATTCATTTAGTAGTTCTTTTTTTAGCGTGCTGTCAAGAGTCAGTGCTCCAGGATATATTCAAAATATGAGCCGTGAACTTTATTTTGTGAAATATATAAAAATAAAAATCCAACCACAATTGTAATTTTTTTTTTTCTTGTCATTATAACTAGTGGAATCCCTGTAGTTCTTCTCACCTGCCTTCGTCTTCTCTGTTCCCAATGGCCACCAGCGCCTCCAGGTCGGTCCCTTTGAGGCCGTACATGAGCAGCTCCTTGGCCGCATCCACGTTTTCTGGGACTCTCTCCACACACTCGTGCAGCACCCAGGATCTCTTTCGGATTTTACTCTGGGGGCAACGCGAATGGGATCGAGTTCAGTCGGAATGATGGGGATAAAATGAGATAGAGAATTAGGAGGAGGAGAGTGTGGAAATTCGCAACAAATTGGTAAAAATGATGCGTGAAATAAGAGTAAGGGGGATTGCAACACCCACTCGGCTTTACTCTATTTCTGCAGCTACTATACGCTGATAAACACCTTGACTTTAATAGCATTTTTCTATCTATATCTATACGCTCTCCTCTTATTATATTCCTTTCATTTCCTGCCATACATTTCTCAATTTTGACTCAATCTCTTACCAGATAATCTTGAATGGAGGCGATGCTCACGGTACTCTTTCTCCACTGTCTCTGGTAGACAAGGTCAGAGTCCAGATTGTACGCATGGGCCAGAGATAGGGCCTCGCCATATTCTTCATTGTCTATCTGTGGGTAAATACAGGGAAGAGTTAGAAAAGTATTACAAATATAAGATTTATATATGATATTGGTGAGGTTTGAAGCACTGAATTTTAATGCTTTGGTTAAAGATTTCATGTAGTTTGAACATTTTTATCATTCAGTTTACCACTATGCCTACTTTCTCCGATCTAAATCAATTAGGAGCAAAAATTTGAATCTAGGTTTACTTGACATGTCTATGGTTAACGGTCCTGTATAAATTAATGAAGAGAGATAAGAGTGATATGGCTAAGCAGCTCAGACTCCTCATATTGGTCTATTATTTAATCTGTAATCAGAGCTTTTTTTTGTAGTGGTAATAAGTTCACCTGTGATCCAGAATACACACTTCAATACTTAAAGAAGATGTGAGTCTGGTCACCAGTGAATCTACCCATTATTAAATGGAAGTGATTGACAGGTGGACTAGCCAATCAGGGGCACGCATGGCCCACCATATTGGAAAAAATATCACAAGGGACTGAAAAACACTGCAGATTTCTGCCGACTTAAACTCTGTTAGTCTGAGGTGAGATAAATTTGATTGTATTTGTGAAGTCATCACTGAGCTCCATCGTTTCACATGTCACTGAAAAAAACAAATCTGATTGAACGAGCACGTTTCATTCTGGCTTTCTAGGCAAGCAGTAAGTAATATTTATACCCCAAAATTGTGTTACATAAAATGATTCAAATATAGATTGTTTGTGCCACCAGTTTCAGCATAAACCTGTGAGAAACATTGTTCCACTGTCAACAACACTTTATCTCTGTAGATTTGGCTGATACAATTGCAGCAACAGGTTAGGTCATAACCTCTAAAAACAAAATGATAAAGGCAGCCAAGCTCAGCAAGTAACATGGAATTTGAATATTCTAGAAGACAAGCAAGATCAAAGTATGTATTTTTTGTGTTAGTTGTCATGAAGTCATCAGCCTCGAGCCCTGAATGATTCACATTGATTTGGCAAAAGTATTGACTCTCTGTTTATCCTGTTTGAGACAAGCACAGGAAGTATGGGCTTTCATCGTTCAAACTTGTACTGAAAGATCAAAGTCAAAGAATTTGAATATGTGTAATAATTAAGTAATTAAACCAGTCTCTTACGGCGTGTGTTTTTCAGAGGTTGTGGAATCAACTGACATCAGTTTAATCTAAAACAGAGAGAGAATGTTTGCACAAGGAGGAAATTTTTGTTTTAAACCTTGATTAAACAAAATAAAGGCGTTGTATTTTTGTTTGTCAGATCATAACTATTATGTAATTTAGAACTTTTGACCTTTGTTAACATTATAATTACTTGGTAATATACTCATATATGCTCCCCATGGCCAATCAGGAAGTATAAACTTTATCAAAATTACAAAAAAAAAAAATCTTAAAACATAATCATGTTAATGTATTATGTTTTAGAGAAATTAGTAGTCAGTGTCACCAGAAATGTCAATAACACAGGATTTGTAAAGTATAGTGATTTAAATAGAATAGAATAAATTCTATATTCAAGAAAGAATATCTTCCAAATAAAATTATTTTGCGTATTTTTGCAGAATACCAAACTGTCCATGTTTTCTCATTGCATTGCACTAGAAGCTCCATATAACAGCATGTGCACAGCATTGGCAGGCACACTCTTTCAGATTACACATGATACATTTCAAGTGGAAAACAACAGGAAAGGAACGCAGTTGGAAAAGCACAATGGCTATCCCAAGTGCTACAAAAAGATAATACTGATGTATGACTGGGTACCACTCGACTGTTAGAAATGATGGCGATGACTAATGGCGCCTAATGATGATGACAATGATGAAGAAGGCTGGAGATGATGGGCCATAAAAATGAGTGATGAACCGTGCTCAAACTTGGGACCAAGGAACGGCGATAGCTCCCTCAGTGCTTTATGACTGAGCATGTTGTTGTCTTTGCTGCAATTTGTACGCAGGCAAGCAGGGACAGCCATATTTCTAATGCAGCAATTAGCATTTCAGAAGAACTCCTGGGATGGAGAAATAGCCTTAAAGCAGCCTGAACATCTTGCTTGGTTTAATTTTCGACACCATCGCACTTCTGGAGTCAAGCCAACACAACAATAGCCCTTTAAGGAGCTGGCATAGGATTTATTCACTCAGAAAAAACATTACACAAATCAGACCGTAATCCAGTCAGTGACCATGTGGCTTCATATAACTTCCGAAAACGACTGCAAAATTAAGTAGCAAAATATGTATACTGTAGACTAAATGCGATATACATCATTGAGTACAACTGGATAATGCTGCTTCACATTGATGTTGGCAGTGAAGTAAGCAGATTTAAATTAACTTCAAAGTGAATAAGCACTTAAAATGGTCTTCTAATTAGAAACAGAATAGTACATATTGAATATATATAACTTCACATCAGCATTCCAATGTTTTTAATGCTGAGCGGACTAAGTGTTCAAATCAATCTGGCATCTCAGCGTGACAGTTTCTGGAGTTTCTCTGCAGTATTGGCCTTGTGTTTAACTATCATATTTTATGACTTTATTTGAAGTACCGAAAAGAGTGTTGTGCATTAGCTGACAGTGGCACACCAGCCTCCTACCTTCCTCTGGTACAGTTCCTCTGGTGTGGTTGACCTCAGGCTAACCAGGCGGTAGTTCTTGATTACGGTGCGTGGGCGTTTGCGTGGCGGTGCAAAGCGCTCCATCTCGGTCACATAATACAGGCCCTGTTTAATGTAGCCAAAGTAGCGCGCCTTGGCCGAGCTCTCGTCGTCTGAGTCAGAGTCTCCTCCGTCGTCAGCGTCCTCGTCTTCACTGGACACAGTGCTCAGGCTGCTCTCCAGGCGCCCACGCTTCTGTGCCAGCTTCACTTCACACTACAGGAAAGCGGGGCACAGAGGGGACATCAGAACTGTACTGAGGTTTGGGCGATAAAATGATAAAAACATATATATGTAAAACATATATACGTCTGTAAAAAGGCAAACAAGTGAAGACAATCAACAATAAATTGTAACTGTAAATTGGGGATGGAGATTTTTATGCAAAATTTAAGGAAAAATACATCCTCCACATTACAGAAGGTAATACATGTAAAAAGACTAAATCCACATGAGATTGGAATTACACTGCAACCATATGATTTTAATCATAAACCACAGCTGATAAAATTACTTGTCTCTTTGGTCACACCACTCAGCACCATCTTTGTCCAGAATTAAATGTAATCTAACGCTGAGATTGAACCTGTCAGAGAGAAGAGATGAGTACAAGATGCTGAACAGAATACTGATCTGTGGTCCGCTTCTGCTAGTAAGCTGTTTATTTAACACACTCCTGCTGCAACCACAGCCAGTCCCAACACAAGATCAAGGTCACACAGCCAAACTGAAAGAGTTCAAACTTTCCTACTCTTCTCTTGTGTGTAAGGTAGGATTGGTTTGAACCTATAGAGCAAAAATAAATAAATCTGGCTATTTTTCAAAAGTGAGCTGCAGTGTGAGGCTGGGGCTCATATTTTGTGTTGACGCCTCTTTAGGTGTGAGCTTGCGGCAGACAAATGTTGGTCCTTCTAGCGAAGCACTGCACCAGAACAGAGGTTATGAAACATTTAGCACCTGTAAAACATTCAGCACCTTTATCAATCAGGCAGCTTCCATAACACCTCACATGCCTCTCAAAACAACACATAAGCTCCTGGTCCAACACAATGTTATTATTGCACACAAACGCACCCCCTGTCATTGTGCAGCTGATGAAACCTTTCCTAAAAGTTGGCATCTGGCTGCTTAAGAATGCTCTTCTCTCTTTGCAATCAGATAACATGAAAAATAAAGAAATGAAGTCTGGAAAGAAAGCAGAGGATGATTTGATATCAGAGTTTCTCACTGGGGAGACAGCTCGGGAGCAGACATTTCATCATCACAGGCTTTTGTTGAACATTGCCATACACACATACGCTTTTCACAGCCACGAACAAGCCGGGAGTCAAGAAAACCATGAATGCACTGCGCTGCTGGTGAAATTAAAAACACTTGGTTGAATAAAATCATGATTATTGTATTTGTAATAGAACATATTCAGTGAGCTGGTAGTAAAAAGAACTATCACAAATGCACTCAAATTCAATTGACTGTGACAAAACAGCTTTGTACACAAAATCATTTATATTTGAAAATGTGCAGAAGAAAACACAACCTCGAGAAGTTGAACAATAGTGCACCAGTACTGAAACAATAGCAGATAATCTAGGGCAAAAAATGCTTCCCAGAAACTCCCATATGATTTGCTGTCTACAAAGCTGCAACGGCACAGCAAAGACATTTTTAAAGTTTTACCTCAAGACTGAGAAAGCCCCCACCATACGCAGTGGTAAGTCTGGGTGAGGGTTCGAACCACTCACAGGATTTCCCCAGGAGGTTTCGGAGGGTCCTGACCGAGGAGACCGTGACCGAACCGGAGCAGCGGGCCAGAATCATGACATTATCACTCCACCAGCTCACGTCCACCAGTGGGTAATACTGCTCCTTATCTGAAACACAACCAAGCCGTGTGATCAAGCGGCAGCAGAAGTGACAGAATATGACATTTTAATTCAAATATGTCACGGCCATCTTGTTTACTTTGCACCATTTGGTCTAATTTGTCTGACGCTTTGGTTTAGAGCATTTCGCTGACTTGCTGTCCCACTCCATCAGCACATGTTTGCACGTGAGGACATATGAATTTATCACATGTCGTGCTCAAGATAACACTCACACCAGTTATTTAATACGCAACTTGTCACAGCTGTCATTGGAAGTGGCCCAAAACTGTCAGAAAATGGATAGTACCACTGCAGACGACAACAGCATAGACACATAAAGAAACTGCGGACACAGGGGAGGGAGGTGTAATGTTTTCATGCTTGTACATCCAAATATCTGTATAATTCAGTGTGCCAGACATGTCAGAGCTGCTTATATTGTATCCATTGTGCAACGTCAGCAACAAAGTCGACTCACCCAGCCCACTAGGCCCAACTACCTTTTATTTTCTTCCTTCTCTCCAGCGATGTCTTCCACTCTGGGTTGATCTCCTCAAATCCTGGCTGCAGGACGATGGAAGGATGGAGGGATTTGGAAAAAAGAGATTTAAAAGGGGAAACATTAATCTGCTAACCATGTTAACACGTCACTCACAATATTGCAATTCTTGTTCTGGAGATTTGATGAATTAAGATACGGAGTACATGGTCTATGAAATGAAATAACCTCAAAGAGAGACTTCACAAACAAGGGTATAAAGCGATCATTTCGCCCTTTGTTAGACACATTTTGGCACATTGTAAAAATATAATCTGAATTTGATCTGAATGTTGTTATCAAGCAAAAAAAAGTGTGAAAACTATTGAGATATTTATTTTTGTCAATTTAGCCTACCCTTAATTCAAAACAGTACTGAAGGAGAACCAAAAATGCAACATGAACAAACGTACATTCCTTCCAAGACATAGTTCATTGTCCAGACCAGAACTTACGCTATTTTCTGATCTATGCTATAATATTCTTTCCTCATCAAAAATATACCCCAAGTTGTGTTTTGTTTCATTCACATATTCATTCATGTCACTCACATAACGCACAAACCTTGCATATTTAGGCTGAGTTCTTCTCTTAAACTGAAAATACTCCTCCTCGTGTCATGTGGTAATATAGAAAGTGCAGAAAGTCATGTGTTAACTCCATACACCTTTTAATGATGAACAGCATTACAAAGTGGCCTAAAGCTCATAAGAGTACATTTTGAGTAATATAAGACCTTTAACTACATTAGTCAAGAATGTACTAAAGAAATGCAGCATGAACAACTATACTGCAGTGCGTCCAGGTTCTCTCAGCAAAAGTAGAATAAGCCAAGCATAAAAGACAAATAGCTGGGAGGTGTTTTGTACCTGTTGTTCCTGGCTCCATGTGGTCCTCTGTCGGAGAGAGGGGACGTCCCAGAGAGAGAGGCGACCAGAGAAGTGGATGACCGCCAGCAGGGTGCCATCGGGGCTGAGGCTCATGCGGAAAACACCGTCCTACACACAAAAATAGACACATTATGTTTAAAAGTGCTGTCCTTTAAAAGTACCAGTGTGATGAGAAGAGAAGATTGTACCATTTCATCCCCTTGTCTGGAGAACAGTCTAAAACTTGGCATCCGGAAAAATCCACGTTTCGGATTCTGTCAAAAAGGCAGCAAGCAATAATGTATCATGAAGGAAAGTCAGGGGATCTATCTCACAAACAGATAGTGTCGGTTACAGAGATTTTATAGTTCAGAGTTTGTTCAGTGTATCATCTATTCTCAAACTATACACAAAGTCCTATCAAAATGGCAAAGGAAAATAAATAACTGCACCTAATTTTTGTTTTTGTCAATACTGCTAAATAACAATCCATTAGGAAACATGTAGAAATGCTGAATCTGAGCATTTATGAATAGAGTAGCAACAAATACAACTTGAGTACTTTATTAACTGGCTGTACAATACATCTCATATATGAGTTAGATACATTTCCAAAGAATGAAAGATAAAACTTTGAAAAACTGCACTGTTATTTCAAACTTACTTAAAACTTAATATACATTTGTTTACATTTTTTCAGTAAACAAAACTATGCTCTATGAATGAAAAAAAAAAATCAGCTTTGCCATTGTTTACTGACTGTATATCTCTACATTATGGTGTGTGCTTCTCACAGTGTTGACGTCGTCCTCATAGCTGGTGACTTGTTTGTAATGTGGAGATCCAGACAGAGCCCTCCAGGCCGTGATCCCACAGCGCGAGGCTTTAGATGGACTCTCATCTCCTGCCTCACAGCCCCCGACCAGCAGCAACCTCAAACACACAAAATCATTATCGTTTGGTGGGATTTGCATAAGAAAATCAGCGAGTAGAGAAAGTGATTGTGGGGTCATCTCCAAGTCTGGGTTCACACAAGGCTAATAGAGAGCATTTATATTATAGAAGTACTGTTTAGAGGAGAAGTGGATTAAAATGTTACTTATCAGTTGACAGAGTTTATGCCTGGAATTAATGGCAAAGCCCAGTTAAGACGCAGACAATACCACAGTGTGACCGCAGAGGCCCATAGGTCTGGTTTTGCAGTGAAACAGAACTAAACTGCAACTGTGATCTGCTGCTTAGGGGAGGTGAGGATGAGGCAGGGCTTTCTGGCTCAACACTGCCCCCTGCTGATTGAAATTATACTGAGGAAATTGCAAAGTCAGACTTCACTATATGACACTAAAAAAGACTGATTCAGAAACCCTTTTTCATGTAATGGGTTGAATCATTAAAGTAATCCCACCCCAAAAGAGAGTTATTTTAAAAGGAGAAAGGTGCACTATGCAGAATCTAAGTTGGGGGATGCCCTGGCAACAAGTCCTTTAGGAGTTTTGAGACAACCTGTACATTATTACTTTAAAGAAGGAAATGTTGCTAAATAGTAGGCCTGTCACAATAAATAATTTATCGACTTATTGTTCAATATATGAAAGTTGAAACAATATATATGGGGGCTGAATATTTACCGTATGTACCATTTCCCAATAGTGAGGAGATTTTTATAATGTTTATGTAATAAAGTAGGATTAGCTGTAAATGGTTGAATAAATAACTTCCATGACTAATTATTGGTTCACTCACTATTTATTTGTTGCAGCTAAGGTATTTTAATGATACTGTCTATTTAAAAAATAGGTTCATTTGGATTATCCTGCTTTATGTCAGTGGCATAGTAGTATCAATACTACTGTTTATCACAATATTTCTCTGTAGTGATATATCGTACTTCAAACTGTTTTATTGTGGCAGGCCAACTACATAGTTCTTGTTATTAGATTGTGCAAGGCTTCAATGTGCAACATAAACAATGCAGTTTAACACAGTCCTGTTTAGAATGAATGATGACCATCCATTTGCTTTATAAACTTTCAGAGGAAGGATAAAAGACTATTGTGTGTCCTTGGTTGTTTACAGGGCTACTATATGTGATAAACACTGACTAAAATGCATTCATTGTCATAATATACAATTTCACCCATGCAATGATATGAATGGTGTAAATGTTCATATTGTTACCTCTTAATGAATTAATACTATGGTGTAAGGACGTTTGACTGGTTTATTCATGTGATTCTGAGTTTTCAGAGATTTTTTTTTTACACAACAACAAATCAAAGAATGGATTATTATTATTGGCATGAACAAAAGGAACAGGTAGCACCATTGCAAAAACAATTTAACAGAAAATATTTCATCTTTTCAATTGTCCACAGTCCTCAAATTGTTGCCTATTAGGAAGCTGAAAACCACGAATAGTTTTGTGAGTTAGTTATAATAAAAACAATACCATTATCACAGTAAAAACCATTCATATTCACTTACGCTCATGCGACAAAAGAAGCACACATAGAAAGGGATGTTTAATAAATGTTAATATATAATAATTATATAATGACTGCTCTTTCTTATAATAATGACAATAAAATTATCAAAACATCTAAGTGCACATCTGGGACCACTTCTGACTAAGTGCTACCCCATCTGTGCACAGGCTAATTGTGAATAACACTTGCTTCTTGCCTGCGACACTGCTTTAACATGCGCTAATGTGCTACTTTTTATGCTCAATCTTATGTCCCAGGCCTCCATTTTCTTGCCCATCTTCTGTTCTCTCTGTTGCTGACCTACTTTTCACACGGGGATCATTAATGTTTCATCTCATCCATCAATTTGGCAAATACTTGACAAAACCTGCCAAAAGCTATTACACTGCCAAACCAGAGCACCACCACAGGCCAGAGTGGGGTTTGTTTAGCGTGTCAGGAGGAGATCCGTGAAAACACCAGGGTCACAGGTGCAAGTTTAGACATAATTAATCAACCCCTTAGGAAATTACGCAGAGAGGGCCAAGGACACCCCGAGCTGTGATAGGGAAATCCAGTGCATTTGCATTAAAGTGATTTATTCCTGCCCCATGGCCTCTCTTCATCAAGGAGCATCTTACCCATGTTCAGTGGTTAGAAAAAGAGTGTTCATTTGTTATCTAAAGTCATAACTCTCCATAACACAGCAATCAATATTAAACGGCCCATATTAGGCTATTTTCTGGTCTATGTTATAATGTTATTTCCTCATCACAAACATACCTGGAGCTGTGTTTTGTCTCATTCACACATCTTTAACACACAAACCCTGCATATTTAGGCTGAGTTCTTGTCTCAAATGGAAAACACTCTGTTTCACAATGTGATGTCATATTATGATAAAGGAAGTGCACCACTGGGTTTTGAAACTCCATACACCTTCACTAGAATCATTTGGATGATTTTAACCCTGGAATTGCCTAACTCTACTCAACTAAAGCTAAAAGGTAGCTGTTAACTTGAAAACTACCACTACATGACATCACAATGTGGAGCAGAGCATTTTGAGCTTTGAAGATGTAGACAGTTTTAGTTTTTTTTAGTTTAGTGTAGACAAACAAGGAGGGTTACTTAAACATGTGTGAATGAAACAAAACTCCTTGTATGTTTTTGATGAAGTAACATGGCTTAAAGCTCACAAGAGTCAGTTTTGTATAACATAGTACCTTTAAACATTTTCAGAAGCTTATCAACAAGTTACCTGCTGGCCCCGATGTAGAATAACAAATGGGAGTAAAATCTCCGAAACAAATTTACATATTTAGGCAGTTCATTACACAACATCAGACTGCACTGGTTGTAATTGGTAATGGCTTCAGAGATAAAGCTGTAGACTGTTTTTGTGCTATCATAACATTGTAAATTGTTACATTTATATAGTCCTTATCTACCTCTGTCCACAGACACTTGAATTGCTTTAGACCAAGGGACCTACAGATAAGTACAGACATAATACAATACATTCACAGAGAGAGTATAAATGAATCATTCTACTAAACTAAAGATTAGGGATCATCCCATACGGATTTTTTGAGCCAGTACAAATATCCGATATCTGTCTGCTGATACTATATTTAGCTTTTAAAATCCATCCATAGCAAGGCCCACAAATGTATCATAGCTAAAGTACAGATCACAAATTTACATTTTCCTTTTGTAAAACTAAAAACAAAATTTATTTATCCAGGACATAAAATCATTTGTTACATTTGTAAACCTACAATCGTATTTTGAGTCAATTTGCTTTTCTATTTTAACTCATTAGTCTGTTCAAAAAGACAGATCTGATGAATGACACATGGGCATACATGGGAGACAAGGGCAGTGCCAAAAAATATTGGTACTGAATATCAGTACACAATATCAGGTGAAAAAAACATTTTGTATGTATGCACCAATCCAGCTCCTTCAGTTCTGATACTGATATCAGTGTCAGAACATATATACTTTGGCTTTAAGTATTTGCCGATACCTGTTATTAACAGATATCAGTGTATGGATGGAAAACACACTTAACTTATTACACAAGAGATTGTGTTATATAAATGTAATTTATTCTTCAACTTCATGTTTATCCTGTAACTTTTATACAGCTTTGTATGAATAAACGGTCAAACATTATGAGACGTTCTAAGCCAAAATCAGGGTGTAAATAGTCTTATTACATCCAATTAACCAGGATTTGGGAGTAACCAAAATCATGGAACCAATTCAGCAAAATTGCCAGTACTGGCACAAATATTCAGTAACAGTATTGGTATCAATGCATTCCTAGTATTTTGCATGTAAAAAGTGAACGTACTTAATATGGCTGAAGACAGATGTGTTACAAAATAAATCAGAAAACGTGAAATAAATACATGAAATATTCTTGTCAGATAAACTTACCGGTGTCCAGGGTGGTAGACGGCTGAGGTGATGCCTTGAGAGTAGTGACCGGAGAAAGTGAAGCTGTGATTCTCCTGAAAGTTTTGATTTGTTCCAACACTGGGCAAAGAAGAAGAAGGCAGTTAAGATGACAGGATCAACCAAATTAAACATCAGCGTTCATACACTTAGGTTTAACAATGCCACATACTCATTTTGGGGGAAGATAATGACATGGAAATTTAAATTCAAACTGTAATTAAATGTGACATGGTGAAATATGCAATCAAATTCAAGTGGACTGCCTAAATTAGATTGGTATTACAGGAGATGTCATATAATTGGTTTGGATATCTTGTATAGGCAGGGTGTGTTTTGCTATGTCAAATGTAATATGAACACTACAATAATGCGGGTGACAGCAGTAAGTGTATATATACTGCATTAATAAAAATTGGTTAATGTATGAAGTGGAAAGTAAAAATACACATTTTTATATAATTTCTGTGTAAGTTTTTTGTTGTTGTTTTTTATCATTTTTTTCTGTTGACTGTAGAACAAACAACCCTATCTCGTATCAAGATGCCTCACACATGCACCATCTCATTCAGTATGATCAAAGTGTTAAGAAGGCTTAATGCGACAATCACACCAGAGGAAATATGTGTAAAACCGCCCTTTCAAAAAATGCTGGATTAAAACATGGGTCCTCATGGGTACCAACCAGTCTACAAGTGTTAATTAAAAAGTTTGATAGCGTGAAAAACAACTATCGATCTGTGCCATTCACATGAGAAAAACGGCAACATGAGCAAAGTATCAACTAGTCCCCATCTTTAGTGGGAGCTATGGCGTTTGGAATGTCTAGCTAAAGATTATGATAAACTAAATACTGTGACATCTTACAACATGTAATCAGCTTCATTACAGTGAGATATTCATAAAATGCTTGTCAAAGATTTGCATTTGTGATTAGATTACAAACAAAAATGCTAGCTAATGTGAAAAATATTCTAACTTACACAGGCACAGTGCAGCACAAAGTAATAAAATTTTTAGGTGGTTTTAAGCTTTTAGAGACTAGATAAACACCTCAGTCTGTTATAATAAGTCTAAGTTGAATTTGGCATTAACTGATAATAACTGGAGGTTGTTAGTATGATTACAGAGAAAAGGGCACAAGATGGATGGCTTAGCACATAATGGGTACTTAAGAGTGACATGACCAAATGGGTGAACACACCTACATGACAGAGTAAAATGTAAGTATTGCAATCTCTATGCAATATAAATAACAGTTTTTATTATTATTATTATTTTATAATGCAGCTCTAGTTCCTGATACATTTTGCCAAGGTAGACTGATAAATCTTACCTCACCAGGTAGCTCTTAAGCCCACCTCCGTATGTGATCACTAGCAGTTCGGCGGACCACTGAGCACTGGCCGTGTACTCCAAAAATATCAAGCCTGCCACAGCACAGCTCACATCTCCAGGAAAGCTCACCTCCTGAACGTGGAAAGAAAGACAAATCAGGTATAATGTCTGAGCTATGAAAATGTGTATTATTATCTATCAGTTTTTGATTTGTACAAGGGCAAACAACAGGGATGAATCAGAGTGACTGCAAAAGACAGCAGAAAAAGAAAACAGTGAACCGAGGAGGCAAGGGATAAAGATGAGAGACTACAGGAGACGTTAGGGGTGGATTTAAGTAGCGTTTTTTTTTACTTTTTCTGTCACATTTTGTTGTTTTATTTTACTACCAGGAATAGCTGTGAGTCAGTGGATTGTGCACTTAGCGGTGACAAACAAGAAAATTAGTGCATGTGTGGTACTGTAGACGCTGTACAAAGTAGAATACAGCTTTAAAGCCAAGCAGATCAGAGGAGGCACAAAGACAAGAAGAAGCGAGGCAAGGGCGGGGGGTGACAGGCTGGATGAAGGGGAGATGATAGACACCATAGAAACATGATCATAACAGGTTCAAGCAGGGCAGCGGAGAGGGGAGGGGGTAAAGGGGGGGGGGATTTGACCCAAAGTGGCAGATTGAGGAGAAAGGTCTACAGAGGATGAGAGCAGCGAGTGAAAAATTAAACAGGGGTTGATGGCAGTGAAAAAAAAGATAAGAATGGATGACATGTGCGAACAGAGGAGTTAAAGGGATAAGAAGCAAGCCAGGGTCCAGATAGTGACTGGCAGGGTGCATTCAGAAGAACACTGGAGCAGCAATGGTGTCAGTCATCAAGAGTAGACAATATGGACGTGAACTATCCAAAAGTGGGTGACAGAAATTAGGAAAGTAACAAAAATGTACCCAATTACACAGAATTCGTCACTTCTTTTCACTTCATATAAGCAAATACATTTTGTTCTATATTAACGGTTATGGTTAATTGAGTCTTGCAGCCACCACCTTTGGGATTTGCCCTGTGCATTCATTTATTGACTAAGGGGGGTGTGGCAAAAGCACTCAAAACTATTCATCTTAATGATCTGACCATGTATCTAACTCCAGCTGCACTCGCAAAAACATCTATTTATTCAGAAAAGTACTAGTAAATTAAATATGTGCTTAAAAAGGTACAATAAACTAAAATACAATCCAAGAAAATAACAGCCTGATTCCAGCCACCCAACACTTTCTCTGACCAGTTACTCCGTCCGTAAGCCCCGCCCATCCAAAGTACAGAAATTGAGGGAAGTGAAGAGTAACTTTGCTATGTATAGAATATAGAGAAAAGTACACCATTTGTATTGTGTATTGACATGGCGTGACTCTGCTTTGCTCATTCTGCTCATTTATTATACAGAATTTTTATTCAATTAATTTGACTGACATGTCCTTCTATTATACATGTATGAATGGTACTTGCAGAAACATGAGCAAGACATGCAGTCCTCTGTAATTATTTCGAGTAATTTTGAGAGCAAGGATAAAATTACAAGGTGTCAGATTTTGAAAATTGCAACTTTAAAAAAAAGAAAGCAAAAAAGAAAATAAAACTGTTATTAAATCTAATAAAATGATAAATGGTGATAAAAACTATTAGTTGTTTATGTTGCATGTTGTACACAAAAGCACACAAATCAAGCAGTGGAATCAAGATAGTGGACAGATATTTGGACATTTACATATGATTAAAAATGCATAGTTTTCAAATGTGATGATTCAGATTGGGATAGAGAGCAGTTACCGGGGGAATGACCAACAGCTCACTGCCCATAAGATCGAATAGGCGCACAGTGCCGGTGCTGTCAGCGTAGGCCAGCAGGGTGCAGTCATAGCTCCAGGCCACGCGGCGCCACTGTGGGCTTGGGTCCTTGGGCACTGTTTAAACAAGAAAAACAAACATAAGGCTTACACATTTGCATTTTAAATACACAAGCAAGTCTGGGATTTGGTACTTAACTATAAGAGTGAAGAAAATAAAGGTTATGTTGAACTATGCAGCATTCAAATTAAGGTTAGACGACATGCCAAAATAAACATCACGATTTTCTTGGAGCCAGATCATGATTTTTATTTTATCACAATACATGTAAACTTAGTGTCTTTATAGTGCATTTGAAAAGATAACTAAAGTCATTTGGTTCTTCTGAAAGTTCAAATTTCAGTCCAATTTATTAAATCCTCTTGTCTCCCTCAGAGTATTGCTGAGACTGGGGAGGAGGTGCGGTGGGGTGTCAACATCTGAGCATAAAGCCGCATTCAAGAGATAATTAATGAATCACAATGTGGCAACTGAATCAAAATAACATATGGTCACAGGAATGAGATTATGATTTGATTTTTATCACCATATTGTCCAGGTGTTATCTGTTGAGCCTTTAATTGGACGTAATAAGGCTGATTTTGGCCTAGAACGTCTCATAATGTAAATAGTATTGATATTGGTGACAGAACTGAATTGTCAAAATGAAATATCATATTCTCACATTCACACAGATGAAAAAAAACGTTTTTGTCATGTTTTCTGTGTCATTTTTATATAATTGCAGCACAGTCTGAACTTCCTCTTCCTCTATCAGCACATGGCATATTTTGAAGTCTGTTAGTAATACTGATTATTTGATTATTAAATAGTTGTCAATTATTTCTTTTGATTTTCTGGCCTGAAGGTTTTATTTGACAGGATTGCTGTAGCGTGAAATGGGAGGAGAGAGAGAGGGTGGAGAGGCTGGAGAGGGGAGCAAAACCCACTATACTCAAGTGATAAAACTACTACACAAGTGAAAATTATTTCAATCATCAATAAATTGTGACTGATCTATTAACTTGTTTCAGCCTTGAATTTGATGCTGCATTTTATTTATGTTATGACATTGCAAAACAGAAACCTTGCAAACTAAGAAATGTAGCTTACTTTTGAGAATGTCAAGTTTCCAATTCCAATTTGTTTTTACAGAACTGATACAGAGATGTAATTCAATACTGAACTTTTGATGCACATTGCATTAGTGTTCTTGCCAGTACGCAGCCCTTTTAGTCCAGATGAGAAAACTTTGTGAATAATCTCTGGAGCCATGATGATGAATACTGATGGGGAAAAGAAACAGATTTGATGCCATAGATCAACAAAGCATGTCTAAGGCCCTCATCCAATTCATCTATAAGTAAAGCTGCTGTAATGCATCTTAATGATTGTCCTTCAAAGATGAGCACAAGCACATGGACACTGAAGGAGCGGGAGAGGGGGAGTGAGTGCACCAGGCCAGAGGAAAAGGAGCAGAGATCATAAATCCAGCTTTTATTGAAGTATAGGCTACTGTTTTAGCCCTGTGCTGGCTCAGCAGTACTGCGACTGTAACCATATCGTAGTGATGAAGCACACTGCCGCCTTCTGCCACTTTCCCAAGGATTCCCTGACAATTCTTCTCTCACACGCAAGAACCCACTTTAACTGACAGTTTTTTCCTTTCATAAATCACAACATGATAAATGAGGCAGGCCTTTAAAACATGCAAAACATATTCACTGTGTTGGAACAAAGAACAAACCAAACTAAATATTTAAGTCACTGCTGCATTCACACAGCAGGGTACATAATATGCCACCACGGGCGCTGTGTCTACCAAGCAATAAAGTTATGAAAAGGAAGTTATGTTTTTGTTGATATCACATAACAGTGTTTATTGGCGTTCATTGTATTGGATTTCTTGGCTGCCAAATGCTGCCGCAACCCCTAGTGGGCAATACGGTGCACGAAACGGAGGCGTTGGATATTGTATGACTGGAATTTTAAATGAAGAACAAAGCGATGATGTGGGAGGCGAGTCAGACAAAGAAAAGAGAAACAGGGGAAAGGGAGGATGCTGGAACGATGAATCCGGGCACCCGCTGAGAGGAATAATAGCTCACCAAATGTTAAAAGTCTTAAGTATTAGAGTGCACCTCAGGAAGTGGGAGATTTAATACACCTATGAGAGTGTGAGCTGTGGAAAATCACTGAGAAACGTGCAACCATTTTGACTGCTATAGGTCCATTTTATTATGGTTTAAATAGTATTGGATTGGCGTTATTGATATGTTACAATTTTTAGTCAAAGGAACTGTATGTAGCCTGCGCTCTTACCGCTACCAGCATTTTATGGTGCATACAGTTAGCACAAGTTTTTCTCATTCTCAGTATATGGACAGCATACACTACAGCAGCAAAGGAACTGATCAGTGATTGGCGGCAGGTGCTGGGGTTTAGGTAGTGACCATTCAGATCAGAGAGCCCTTTTTCAAGTGGATTTCAGCACTGAAACTGGCAACTCAAATGAGAGACTCATATGAGGCTCATTCTGCATTCTGACTGGATAATCGTTTTGAGAAACAAAACACCAAATTATAACAAACAACTTGGCCATCATGTCCAATATTTTTGTAATTAGAAATAAATCTGTTTATACAGTTGTTATCAGTAAATGCTATATTTGATTTGAACATGTCTGCATCCAGTTATGATGCAGATATATAATATATATATAATATAATATAGTGTTTACTGTTAACAACTGTATGACCTAATGTGCCCATTAGGTCATGTCATGAACATAAACAAGACAGATTTTTTGTATCAGATTTTTCAGATCAGTACTGAAATCAGCTCCAAACCACATGTTTTTGTTTTTTGTTTTTTTTACAGAAGAGCACTGGAGAGAGACATTTCAATTAAAATGACATTTCAATTAAAACCATTCTATTCTAGCTTGACATAAGATAAGGCTACACTAAAATGTTTCTGAATATTACAACCTAACTTTTGAATATGAAATCTTGTGCCTCCATTTAGGTAGCAAGGCCCTCAAGCTGAAGTATTAATGGTAATGCATATTTGCTTCTTTCTACAGTATTTCAATAGTGAATCACTTATTCTGTTCCCTTTTCAATGTGTCCTCTCAGCTGCCCAGAATGTATAGCATCCTGTTTGTTGCTTTGCTACCGAGAGGGCTCCATTTCCACATAGATGGCTTTTGAGGGGGAGCAAGAAAATTGGTCTCTTGTGTTTGTTTTTATCCTAGTATTGAAGGAGGTACATGTTTGGGAGAAATATAGCCGACAACCTGACAAGAACCTGCTATCTAAAGGCTCTGGGATGCATTTATCAGAGTTCAACACTTATGAATTATGTACAGAGGAGGAAGCATCAGTGGCAGAAGAGAAAAAAAATATATAAAAGACAGGTGCAGAGACAGAAAAACACTGGGTAAAACGCGCATATCCATCTCACACTAAAGCAAGAGCCATTAACAGCAGGATCACAGGAAATCCATTAGGACAAATCTCCGTGAAATGAAGTAAAATGAAAATGAAAACGCAGAAATGAAATAAAATGAAAAGGAAATAAGAGACAAGAGGCTGAGGTGTACATGGGGTTGGAGGCTACTCTTATCCGTACTATGTATAGGCCATTACAAACAAAGGCTCACAAAGGCACCCAAAGAACAAATATAGAATAAAGCAACCATGAGGAAGCTATAAGAGGAAGTTACATTTGAAACACATATGAAATGATTAGGGATGTCAAAAGCATTGAAAATCAGATACTAAATAATACTTAAACTAGCAACTCATCTGTGCATGAACTGATACTGATTAAAAGTCACATTCACAGGACACAGATGCATCTTCCCTTAATAGCTTTAGAATGATCCATATCAGAACAAGTATAAGACCACTACTATATGCCCATGGACTACTATGGAACATACTTGGACAACTGAGGGATTACACGGATATAAGATCATATAACAATAGGCTCTAATCACCCTTACGTCACAAACCAGGAAGATGTTTGGAAACATGCAAATACAACTTCTGGCAGGCTCTGTTCACAGTAGTAAGTCTGACAAAATCTAGGGAAAAATTAGATAATGGTCCAGTTTTCTTCATCTACATTTCATTAGCCAAACATATGTGAACACTACAATTACAACCATACCTCAGTTTTCAATATTTCCCCACTGACACACAACTCCGAGTGCACTGGGTACATGCAATTAGAGGAGATAAGGGCGCCAAATTCAAGAGTATTCCAAACAGCACATACGTATGCAGTCTTCATTTTACCACTGATGACATTTACTTCAATGGGTTTTATCACAGTAGTTGTAATCGTATCTTTCCAAGCTTGGCGTAAGCGTGAATAGAGCCTAAATAGAAGAAAGTACTAGAGAAGTAAGAGTGTTTTTTATTATAGTAAAAAAAAAAACATATATATATATATATATATATATATATATATATATATATATATAGAGAGAGAGAGAGAGAGAGAGAGATATAGAGAGAGAGAGAGAGAGAGAGAGAGACAGAGAGAGAGAGAGAGAGAGAGAGAGAGACAGAGAGAGAGAGAGAGAGAGAGAGAGAGACAGAGAGAGAGAGAGAGACAGAGAGAGAGACAGAGAGAGAGAGAGAGAGAGAGAGAGAGAGAGAGAGACAGAGAGAGAGAGAGAGAGAGAGAGAGACAGAGAGACAGAGAGACAGAGAGAGAGACAGAGAGACAGAGAGAGAGAGAGAGAGAGACAGAGAGAGAGAGAGAGAGACAGAGAGAGAGAGAGAGAGAGAGAGAGAGAGAGAGAGAGAGAGAGAGAGAGAGAGAGAGATTTTTATTACAGTACAGAGCATTGATTCTATTCCTTTGTAAAGAATTTGAAATTTTAGTATTGTGATACTACAAATTATAGCTTCTTCTGTTCATTACATTTCATCGCACACAGAAGTATAAAATTGCAACAGGTTTCATCAGTCAGTAAATATGGTCATTCATTAATTTTGTTCTTTATACTTATTATATTTAAAAATTGTTAAATGGAGAAACACAAATGTGCCAAGATTGTGCCAGATCTGTCTGATCATATTCCCATTTTCAGAGCACATTTGTACAAACTTACATCCATTTTTACTCTGTGATCATTAAAACTAACTGCCTGTGTGTTTCATCAATGCAGTCTTTTTAACTAATGTTCAAAACAAGACCATTAAGCGAGCATCCCATTCAACTATTCCTTTGATCAAACATAGCAGGGCTGTTTGTCTAATTCGATACATAGTGGAAGAAGAGTGGGAGAAGGGCTATTATCTGAGCTGCAACAGGTCTTTTGGGGAATGTTCCACCTGACAGCACACACATAAAGCACACACTGACATAATCAATTGCATTCAATCAATAAATATAGTAAATTGAAATAGAAACCAATCATTTCATGCCCATTCAATTTGCACATACAGCTCCATAATACAGCAATAAAAGTCAAATTGTAATCTGCTCCAAAATGCTATTTTAGTTAAATTGTCATGTAGTGATTCACTTCTTTTTGTCTAATATAGCTCGAATACCGACACCTTTTCTCACTCCTGCTAGTCAGTATCCACCATGCTCTAAGTGACAAGTAGATTTAACCAATCACAGTGAAGTGTGAATATTCAGAAGAAGAAGAATACTGTATTTACCTCTTGAAGGCAATATAAATATCCTAAGACAAATAACCCAAGAGTCATCAATAGCAATAAAAATCAAGATTGTGATCTAGCTATTTTGCCACTAGCTATATTGGCCGCTGTTGTTTGAACAACCAAAAATACAACCCTGAACGCCACGAACCCAAGTGAACATTTTGTGGTTTGCTCTGCCCGACAGGAAGACACAAAATGAGTGCAAGTGTAGTGACAGATAAAAGGGGAGAGGTTACTTACCCTGGCACTTGCCGATGACCGAGCCAAAGTCATCCCTCACAGACCTGTGGAGGACACCGTGAGTGATTGTGAACAACAGCAGCCTTATTGGAGCCAGTACAGAGCGGGCAGTTACAGCCACTGTCAGTGTGCCAAAGTGGCCCCATGCATCAGGCAGCCTTGGTAGTAGACTATGCTTAGACAGACACTTACTGATCTCTGAGGAAAAGGCCTTGAGCTGTCTGAACACCCACTCGCTTCAGCTAATACCATCAAGGCAGACTCTAAAGCTCTCCACTGTTAAACAACACAGCAGCGAAAAGAACGACGACATCCCTCAATAATAATATGAGGCAGAACAAGAGTTGTTTTTTACACATTGATAGATACACTTAGATTGCAAGGCTAACACGGCTCTTCTGTTTCACAGAATGTGGGTTTATATAAAAGAATTTCAATTACAGAAATTGTGTAAGTGAAATAAGTTTTCTGAAATGAGGCCATGTGTTGTTAACCTCAGGAGAGCTTGGGAGCCGGGTTATAATGGTATATCAACTTAAATTTCATTGATTTTAATTTCCAATTTGCTCAGTTTAAAGCATTGCACAGGGGTTAGCACACATGCTGAGCTTTGAGTTCAGAGTAAGGGAAAATGAATGTGTTTCTAGAAGTAATACCAACATGTTGTTATTGGGGACAGAAGTAACTTATTTTATTTGGTCATTGATATGGAAAACCCACAGTGAGTTGGTTGTCAAGTACAAGCAAAGTCTACAGCTATTGCAGGCAGAATGGCTTTTACACAAGGTTAGAGTTCACTAATTACCTTATCTCCACACACTGGTCCTGCACCACTGCCAACAGTTTGCCATTACTGGAGAGAGATAGAAAACGGTGAGAAATGGTGACAAGAATGGGTGATCACTTAAGGGAAAGAAAGGGAAAATGGGAACAATGACAATGATTGCTTTACACAGTGCAAAGGTTGTTAAGTGGGAACAAATGAAGAAACCAATTTAAGTTGAGATATGAAATGAAAGGTCAAGATTATCTGAAAAGACCTAAAATGCTCACCTTGATAAAACCAGCTGCCAATTGATCTGCTTGTTGGACAATCGAACAAGCCCGGGAGGTAGAAAGGAGCTGGTGGGGCTACAGTTCACAAAGCAGAGTTACATGTATTTTAGCAAATGTCAGCCCTTGGTTAAATGTATGAGTAAGAAACTCAACAGTTTAAGTCTATGCTTCTGTTCTGATCTAAAGAAGGCAGAACTTTGAGGCAAGCAGACTAATGATTGGAGGAAACTTGATGCTGAATTTTTTACAAGGTCTGCCAGCCACCTGCTGGGAGTATAAGTAGAGCTGGACTCTGAAGTATTATACACACCCACAGACAAGAATTAATAAAAAGGCAGTAATGACTTAACCTGACTTGCGTCATCAACTTAACGTTGAATTCACCGTATTTGGATACCACTGTGCACTACATGTGCTTAAAATTATAATTACTAATCAAATCCTTAATACCATATTTTTTGTCAAGTATAAGAATAAATCAATACTTAATTTTTCAAATTATTATTATTAAATTCACAGACTTCATTTTTGTATTAAAATTGTGTATATACATAAACGAATTACAGTACGTGCAATATACTAGTAAATATCACAATTAATGCCATACATACATACCTGTACCACAAATAGTGTAGAATCAACCGAAATGGTCCTGTAAAATGTAATTGTCAAACCAATAATTCTACACAATCAGGCTGGATCTAACATTTGACTAGTCTTAAAATGAACACATTGTTCCGTTAGCGTAGAGTTATTGAGAAATAAATGGTGCGAAGCTGCCCCCTTTCGGCATTTACTGGTCATGAACAGAAGAAGTTAAAACGTACCTGTCACTGCTTTTGCAATAAAAGAGCTGCTGTATTCTCTGTTGCCTCGTTGCTGTAAATTATAAATGATCAGATGAGCACAAAATCACTCTTAGAATCATTCCATGCAATAAAACTTACAGCTGACTATGATGCTAATGCTAAATATTTCCACTGCTTGTCTCGAAGCTACAGATGAATTTAAATCTTCTGTTTGTATGATAAACAATTATTGCAAATAAATAATACTTTTTAGCCATCCGACTGTGGGGCTACGTGGCTTTGAGCACTTGACCCCGTGCAACTAATGCTAGATAACTTTCAGCGCTCATTTTCTTTTAGCATTTCTTTAAGGTCGCTTGTATAAAGAAGCTGGATGTTCGCTAAAATTACTGATGAACCTACCTGTGTGTCCGTTTCAGGTGGCCATTCAGTAATAACCAGTAAATCATATAAAATGTTTTCTTCATCGCTTTCAATCAAACTATCTTCAGCCATATTTACTTGTGCCAGCTGTCAAATATCTACGGCAGGGGGAAAGGGACAAATCAAATTAGTAAATAAATGTGTGTCTGTGAAAACTATGTAAATTCAGAACCACTGCTCTTTTATGACTTAATTATCATTATTATCATTATTTTTATTACTATTATTATTACTACTATTTTTAAAGCAACAGTATGTCACTGATTTAAAAATAGAAAGTACAAACAATCCCCCGGAACCAATATTTGCAGTTTGTGCATCAGTCCTGTAAATGTGCAACACCAAGCCTCACACGTTACATCCGGTTGAGTTGCGCTTGTGTTAGGCATTATGGCAGCGTTTTCGGGTAAGATTTTTACATTTTAGCTATGGAAATACTTAGAATTTGTTACCTTATTCATATAAACCAAAGTTTAAATGTCACGCTAATGTTGCAACCTCATAATGTATTCTTCGCTCAACAGAAATGGGAGTTATGCCTGAAATTGCGCAGGCCGTGGAGGAGATGGATTGGCTGTAAGTGATTTTATATAACTCTGTGCTATTAGTTTTGCATTACTAATAACGTAACGACTTTCAATGCATATAGCATTGTAATTATTTGTCTTTCTTTCCTAGACTGCCTACTGACATTCAGGCAGAATCTATTCCCCTTATTCTTGGTGGTGGAGATGTGCTAATGGTAAGTTGGAAATGGAAAAATATGTTGACTTTCCAAAATTCACATCAGTTGAAGTGACTTTGGTCATACGTTGTATTTCTAGGCAGCTGAAACTGGCAGTGGCAAAACAGGGGTATGTATTACATAGTATTCAATCAAAAGATATTTAAAAATAGTGGGTGATCTTAATAAATTGTTTTCCAGGCCTTCAGTATCCCTGTTATCCAGATAGTGTATGAAACCTTGAAAGATCAGCAGGAGGGCAAGAAGGGGCGAGCCGCCATAAAAACTGGAGGAGCCAGTAAGCACATATTTCAATTGAAATAGATGTTGTTATATATCGGTGTATGAGCATATTTTTTGTTTTCAGTCTTCAACAATTGGCAAATGAATCCTTATGACCGTAGCCCCGCCTTTGGTAAGTTGATGACATTTTTTTTTCTTCTTGTGCCATTCATTCATGTGCATGTTTCTTTTCTCTCTCAGCTATTGGACCAGATGGACTTTGCTGCCAGAGTAGGGAGTTCAAAGAATGGCATGGCTGTCGCTCAACCAAGGGTGTTACAAAAGGTTTGTACTGATGATCAAAATTATTCTGGTAGAATCAAATTATTATTTTCTAATGTACCATTTGTAATGTCCCCAGGAAAGTATTACTATGAGGTGGCTTGCCATGATCAAGGGCTGTGTCGCGTGGGTTGGTCCACTAGTCAGGCAGCTTTGGACTTGGGTATTTTTCTATTTTATCTTTAATGTTTGCTCTCAATAATAGATGAACCATAAGATTTTATTTATGCTTATACATAGGAACTGACAAGTATGGTTTTGGATTTGGTGGAACTGGAAAGAAATCCAACAATAAGCAGTTTGACAGCTATGGAGAGGTAGACCTATTAATTTAATATTTTGCTCATTAAATTAATATTCACATCTGGGAGATTTATGCTGACAATTATTTTTATTTAGGAATTCACCATGCATGATGTCATTGGATGCTATTTGGATCTTGAAAAGAACCAGATTTCCTTTTCTAAAAATGGTGCAGTATTCCTATTTCAAAATTACAATTAAATATTTGGTGTATGCTTTTTGTTTCTTTTCTCATTATGACTTTTTTTTCACTTTCTCTCCTACAAACAGGCAATGACCTTGGTGTTGCATTTGAAATTTCTCCAAATCTAAAGAATCAAGCTTTTTTCGCCTCCTGTGTGCTCAAGGTCCTTACAAAACCATTGTATTTAGTAAAAGAGTTGTTTATTACTGTAACACTCAGTTCTGTGATTAGAATGCAGAGCTCAAGTTTAACTTTGGAGGAGAGGACTTCAAGCATACACCTAAGAGTGGGTTTGTTGCCTTAGACCAAGCAACAGAAGGTCATACTGTCAAGTCTTCTCAAACAGGTATGCTTGTGAATAGCTAGAATTGTGTGAACAAGTTACTAGATTTTAGATTTGCCTTTATCTGAGTAATGAACCTTCTCATGAAAACATGTATGAATATTGTGTTTAGGAAGTGCAAAAGTGACCCAGGTGAATACATCGTCCAATTTACCTAAAGCTCTAATCATTGAACCATCTAAGGAATTGGCTGAGCAAACTCTCAACAATGTCAAACAATTTAAGAAATATGTGGACAACCCAAAGCTCAGGTAGTTATACTCCACACATTACAGTAGCACAAGGTGGTAGTAAAATTACACAGAAAAACAAACGTGATCTATATTTGCAGAGAACTGCTGGTGATTGGTGGTGTGGCTGCCAAAGAACAGCTGGCTGCATTGGAGCAAGGCGTAAGTAGCAAAAATAAACTAAAAGCTTTTGCCACAATATTGCATGAGTTACAGCTTTCATATTTCCGCATAAGATTGATATAGTTGTGGGGACACCAGGCCGACTGGACGACCTAATATCCACAGGGAAGCTTTCTCTGGCCCAAGTTCGATTCCTTGTCCTGGACGAATGTGTAAGTATGTTTTTGTTTTCTTGGTAACATCAAGATCAAATGTGTATTTTCAAACTTTGGTTTAAAACTTCTCGTGTTTTAGGATGGACTTTTAACTGCAGGATACACAGACTTTATTAACCGACTCCACAAGCAAATCCCACAGGTCACATCTGATGGAAAGAGGTTGCAAGTAAGCCTTGCAAATGTTGTTTTTATTGTGTCACATCAAAACATTGCTTGAATTATCTATATTTTGTCAGGTCATTGTTTGCTCGGCCACACTGCACTCATTTGATGTAAAGAAGTTGTCTGAGCGCATCATGCACTTCCCCACTTGGGTCGATCTGAAAGGAGAGGACTCTGTGCCTGAGACAGTCCACCATGTTGTGGTTCCCGTTAATCCCAAGTCTGATCGCCTGTGGGAGCGTCTGGGCAAAAATCATATACAGGTAAATTTACTAACTCAACACTCATAAAAGTTTAGTAATATAGCTATTATATTGTATAATAATTATTTGAATTATGACAGACTGATGAAGTACATGCCAGAGATAACACTAGACCAGGAGCCAACTCTGCAGGTGAAATTGTCTTTTATGTTAAAAATAAGTAATAATGTAATACATAAAATAATGACTTTATTTGTTATCATCCTAAACTATATATGATGCTCTTATAGAAATGTGGTCAGAAGCTATCAAAATCCTAAAGGGTGAATATGCCGTAAGGGCCATAAAGGAGCACAAGATGGACCAGGCAATCGTCTTCTGTCGCACCAAGATCGACTGTGACAATATGGAGCAGTACTTTATTCAGCAGGGTGGAGGTATGATACATGACCTTTGGTACTCCATAAGCAAATTACAAATATTTTTTTGTGTTTCTCATTTAGGTCCAGATAGTAAAAACCACCAGTTTTCTTGTGTGTGTCTCCATGGTGACCGCAAGCCTAATGAACGAAAAAATAACTTGGAGCGCTTTAAGGTAACAAGCTTGGTATTGCAATTGTGATAAGTGTGTTTATTCTGCAATATATGTGTTTATTGTTTAGAGAAAAGAAGTGAGACTGTTGATCTGCACAGATGTCGCAGCTAGAGGAATCGATATCCATGGAGTCCCTTATGGTAAACAAACTAAACAAGTAAACTAGATTATATAAAACACAGATTTACAGATCAACAGATTACAGATTACAGATACATTATTCTGTATTAAATTTACTTGTTTTATAGTGATCAATGTGACTCTACCTGATGAGAAGCAGAACTATGTGCATCGTATTGGCAGAGTTGGACGAGCAGAAAGGTCTGAAAAAAAAAATAATTATTCTGTAATTCAATTCAAATTCATTTATTTCAAATTTATTTATCTAACAGATTTAAACATATTCAGATGACCAAAGTGTTTAACATAAAAGTTCATAAAAACAAATACAAACAAATAACACGATATATAGGAAACTATAACCATAACTAAAACCATAAATGTCTGTTATTTCTGATTTATTTATTTGAAATTACTTTTAGAATGGGACTTGCTATTTCCTTGGTTGCCATGGAAAAAGAAAAGGCAAGTGGAAATTGATCAGTTTTTAGTAAATGTTATGTTACATTATTCTAAGCATACATGTCGACAAGTGCAGGTGTGGTACCATGTGTGTCCAAACAGAGGTAGAGGATGTTACAACACAAAACTAAAGGAGGACGGTGGCTGCACCATCTGGTACAATGAGAAAGAGGTGAACTGTTCTTGACACGCCTAGTTGGAATGTGCATCATGAACTAAGATGCAAAATTTGTTACATTGTTTTGTATCTTTTGACAGCTGTTGTCAGATATTGAGGAGCATCTAAAATGCACCATCACTCAGTGTGAGCCAGACATCAAAGTGCCTGTCGATGAGTTTGATGGGAAGGTTACCTACGGTCAGCGCAGGGCAATGGGAGGCAAGTCTCATTTTAATTATGTTACAAAAGATGCAATGCTGCCTGGCAAAATTACTTGTATTATCTAATTATTATTGTGGTGTGGTGTTTTGTAGGAGGTAATTACAAGGGTCATGTGGATGTCCTTGCTCCAACTGTCCAGGAGTTGGCAAGTCTTGAGAGGGAAGCCCAGTCTTCGTTTCTTCACCTGGGATACCTGCCCAACCAATTATTTAGAGCATTTTAAACTCACAGCAACAAACATTACAATGTTGACAGCAGTGTCCCGCATCATAAATGCATTTCAAATCTACAATAACTAATTCACTTATAATCCTGATAATATAAATGATGTGAAACCATGTAAGTAAATCTCTACCTTCCAAACAATTTGTCTCAAGCAAAACATGATTTGTTTACATTTTTTGTCCAATCTTTAGGACCTATTGGAGTAAGTAGTGTATTTAAGTTTACTATTTGAGCTAACATTGAAGTCACATGTCTTGGAGAATAAATTTAAAATATTAAATCGTGTGTCTCAGTTTGTTTTTTGCCTTTGTATTACATTTATTATTTTTGATAGCAGTTATGCTCATTTGTCAGTTGTGTACCACTTCAAATGAGCTCTGGGTGGTGCTATCTACAAGAAAATGTCCACTATTTCCATCAAGCTTGACCACATACATCAAAAACAAGCCCATATGACCGTAGGACAAAAATACTAAAAATAAAATTATTTTTTTTATGTTTTATTGATTTCAGCCAGATCAGGTGGCATAACCATCCTTATACACAATCAATGGTAGAGAGACCAAAGTTAAGAGACTGAAGTTAGATAAATTTAAAATGGAAAACGATTGCATGATTTGCTGCGCAGTAGTGGTCGGTCTCTATATACTTGTGTGCACTGCCTGTGAAGGTCAGATAAATAATGAAGTTTTATTTTGCATGATTTTAGCGGAAGTGTTGCTTGTACTTGAGTGTAGCTTGACCACGGTGGAGCAGCGGAGAGACGCCCAGTGTTCAGCCCACGGTTCAGCCCCTCAGCCCCGGCCGCTGGCTCAGATCCGCCCTCGGAGCCGCTCGGTGTCAGCTGGATGTGGATGTATCGTCACCGCTTCTTTGGACCGCAACAGGTAAACCACACACGCTGTTTACCGATTCACCTGGATAACAATAAAGGGTTGTCAAACGCCGATCATCTCACCTTTACGCTTTTCTTCAATGGTACATTTGTATAGATTTAATTGCTAAGGGAAAAATACTGCAGTGTTTTTGTCTATAGTGTATGTAGGCTAATACACTGGATTGGACTCAGATATTTTTCTAGGCGCTCTTTTTCAAAATATTTCCATCTATGTTTGCCTATTGTCAGCAAGAAAGAAAGAAAAAAAAAAAACAGTCCACAATAGCTAAAAGGTAGGTCATCAATTATAAAACACAAATAAAGCATATTTTTGTCCACTAGTTCCTTATAGTAATAGGCACATACTGAATCAAGAACATGGCCACTAGGCATTTAGGCTATTGATATGAGCTATCAGGTGTCAATATTGTAGCTACTATTCGCTGGCATGAATTAGAGCAAGTGGAGATCTGTCACAATGTATTTACAATCTGCCACACTGGACAAATTGTTTAAAATGTGAGTATTCAAGTTTCAGTCATATCTAACGAAATTTGCTGCTCTTATTTGGGCACTATTCTGCAAAATATCTGATCACACATGTGTCTTTGTTTATTTTGAGTCTTCCATGAGTTTGCAAAGCTGTTTCATTCACTGCAGTAGGCAACACTAATTATAGAAATGGCCCCTTGCTCTATCTTCCCTCTTTCCAAGTGTGTGTGCTAAACAGTCCTTCTCTGCTACTCTCGGGACAACAAGACAAGGTACCCGCTGAAGTGGCAAAGTCCACCGCCAACCACCTGAGCTGAGCAATTGTAAGCAGCTGGTCCTATCCCATACATGTGTGTTTTGTAGTCTGTCCACCTGCCAAGGAACAAATGATTGCAAAACATAAAACAAATAGTGCCTGCATTTTATCTTGGCATCAGATGGTCAGGTTTTTTTTATAAGACTATATCAAGAAGACTGATTAAGCAAGGGCAAGCTGGTTTTATCCTAGAAACAAGAAAGACTGCCTAATGGCAAAAGCTAAAGGTACAACAGAGTGTTTTAAGAAGAGACTAAATATTATAGAGGCTGACCTATAAATGTATACAATGACTATAAAAATTAGCTGTCCTGTTGGCTGTGTCCCCATTTTCCCCACTGCAGAAGATCCATGTGTTTGTGAATAGGAAGAAGAAAGCCCAGTGAAACACACTATGTCCTTTCATCCGGAGGTACAGCTTTGGGCTTCCTGGGCTGTCTATGCTACAACAGGCTCCTTCTCTGTCAGAGCGAGGGAAGTCTGCGCACAGGCACGAGCATTGATAGCCACATCCGAGAACTCGGCACAGGTGTCAGTCAGGGTGCACACCAGTCAAAGCTCCTTTCATTCACTGTTACACCAAAACTGTAGTGCTTCATTATTGGAAAAACAGACAGAAATGTGGCTATTTGATTTGGGCTGAGATGTGATAAGCTACCTTTACCAGGTGGTCTGACAAATTAGTTCATATGTATGCAAAAGACTGCAGTGAACTCTATGTGCTAAAGTGTAAAGATTGGAAGCAATTTTACCCTGTTTAAAGATATGGGTTATTTAAGGCCAAAAAGTCATGACTCATGAGAATGTTAAATGAAAGGTCCTATATTACACAAAATTAACTCTTGTGAGCTTTAAGCCATGTTATAATGTTACCTCCTTAGTCTTGCTTAAAGTTAGCCAGACTATGATTCAGTGTATACACCCTCATATTCAGCGAGGTACTGTTTTTAAAAATTAAGCTACAACACAATCATAGTTGCATAAAAAGTATACATATTTTAAGACTCTCAAATAGACCTGTCACGATAATTACTTTAATGACTCATCGTTCAATGTATGAAAGCTGGAACAATTAATTAGGGGCTCAATATTTATTGTGTGTACACTGTCTTTGCAATAATAGGGAGATTTTTGTTATTTTTGTTATAATACAATAAGATTTGAACTTTAGAGTGATGAATACATAACTTCTATGGGTAATTGTTGCCTTATTCTACTGTGTATTTGTAGCAACTCATGCCTTTATTTGCAAAATGGTTTACTGGGATTACCTTACATTGTTGTACCAGTGGCATAAGGCAGTTTACTATCATTTATTGCTATATTTCTCTGTAACTATATATTATGCTTCAAAACTTGTTATCATGACAGGTCTACTCTCAAAACAAGTAAACTGAAGCCTGTAGTTGTGTATTTAGGGTATTTCGATCCCGGATGTGTCCTGTTTGGTTAGAGTCTTTCGAATACAGGCAGCAGTAGATGCGTATCTTCTTTGTGAAACGTCACTCTCCTCTGGGTACAGCCGTGTTTGTGCATGAGGGCGGAGGAGGAGCAGAGTGTGTAGGCTTTTCTGAGCTGTTTGCACAAGGGAGTGGAAACTGTTCTTGATAAGTGTAATATAAACACAAGCACACGTGGATCAAGTCACAGAGCTACATCAAAGTTAAGACACCTTTTTAATAGGTTGTAGGGTTAATGGCAATTGAATCTAAATTATATTGCAGTTAGGCCTGTCATGATAATTACTATATTGACTTACCGTTCAATATAATAAAAGCTGGAACAATATACAGTATTTTGGGGCTCAATATTTATTGTGTGTACAATTTCTTTAAATAATGGGGAAGTTTTGGTTATTTTTGATGTAACACAAAGCAATTTGAGCTGTACTTCCATGGCTATTTGTTGCTTCATTCTGCTATTTATTTATTTTTCAGGCCTTTAATGTTACTGTATACATAAGCATTTGTTTACTGCTTTACCTGCTTTATTGTTTTTGTGTCTGTGGCATAAAATAGCTTCTATTATTGTGGCATAAAATAGCTTCTGTTAGCTGGCTATTATAATTTATTGCTGTATTGCTGTAGTAATATATTGTGCTTCAAAATGTGCTATAATGACAGGGCTAATTGCAATTTGCCAAAACTAAATGCTCCAAAAAATTATACAAAGACTCAAATTATTTACACAAAGCTGTTTTCTTCTGAGAACAATTATGCAGTAGTGTAGCTATGGTAAATTGAGTGTCAAAAAATTGACATGATGCATTTATCATTTTTAAGGGGTAAAAATATTTGTTATTGTAGAAATTATACTATGGTCACTAGCCTAGCCTGGTCTATTTATGTGGAGTTTGCATGTTCTCCCTGTATCTTGGTAGGTTTCCTCCTCCCCTCAACCCAAAACATGGACAACTGATACTTTGCAGTGACATCTTGCTTGGGGTGTTCTGTGTGTATGTATGGTGGAATGTTCAGCAGTTACCATGGTGGCACAATGTACATCACTGCTAATCACTGCTTATTTGGGGAGTTTGTTATAGCTTGATTATGTGATTTCAAGTCCTGGGTACGGGCTAGTATGTAGTTTTCCACCAGTTCAGTGTTTTGAGATTGACTTCTTTATCTTTCTTAATCAAATTATCACTACATCTTAAAGCAAAAATAACATAACAAATATTTCCTCTAAAATTAAGAAAATAGAAATACAACAGTGGGATCAGTGTGCTGTTAATGCACTTTAACCTGCCGTAGGTAAACAGATGTTCCTTCAGAGTGGTTCGAAATGCTGGTCCTTTTGGATTGAGGGCCGAATTAAAACAATAGAGCTTAATTATGTCATGGTGATGTTGACATCTTATAATGGACCATTGTGTTGTAACTCAGTGGTCCCTAACCCCCAGGCGGGGGACCGGTCCGTGGGTTGTTTGGTACCGTGCCACACAAAAAGAATAGTTAACTTTATTATTTCCGTTTTATTTATTATCTGAGTCTGAACAATGTTTTATTTTGAAAAATGACAGAATTCTCTCCGTCTCTCTCTTGATTCACTTTTGACGCATGTCAAGATGCTTGTCTCAGTCATGTGATACATAAACGCTAATGTTAAACCCACAAGCTAGCAAAATGAGTAAAAGACAGACATCTTTGGAAACATTTATTATATTTACAAAATACCACAGTTTTGTGTTGGTCATATCATTTTATTTTGTTATATTTATCCGCCACACCTTAAAGGCCAGTCCATGAAAATACTGTCTGACTTTAAACCGCGCAAAAAAGGTTGGGGGCCCCTATTGTAACCTGTAAAGCATTTTAACACATCTTCAGGAAAATAACATAATAATAAAATATGGAGGAACTAATAAAGTAGTTCCTCCAAAATAGTACAAATGCTGATCCTACAGGATTGGGGGTCTAATGATAAGAGAAGGCCCTCCTCAGTCTTGAGAAGAACCATTACAGGGCAGACTTGGGTCAGTTTTGAAAGGCTCTCAGATCAGTGTTAAGATGTTTTACAACCACTGCTTCAAACGCCTGTCCTGTTCACAAGCAACCTTCAGGAGAGCATCAGCAGAGCCATATTCCAGCATCAA